CTGTACAAGATGCAGTGAGTCACTGTACAAGATGCAGTGAGTCACTGTACAAGATGCAGTGAGTCACTGTACAAGATGCAGCTTGAGTCACTGTACAAGATGCAGTGAGTCACTGTACAAGATGCAGCTTGAGTCACTGTACAAGATGCAGTGAGTCACTGTACAAGATGCAGTGAGTCACTGTACAAGATGCAGCTTGAGTCACTGTACAAGATGCAGCTTGAGTCACTGTACAAGATGCAGCTTGAGTCACTGTACAAGATGCAGCTTGAGTCACTGTACAAGATGCAGTGAGTCACTGTACAAGATGCAGTGAGTCACTGTACAAGATGCAGCTTGAGTCACTGTACAAGATGCAGCTTGAGTCACTCTACAAGATGCAGTGAGTCACTGTACAAGATGCAGCATGAGTCACTGTACAAGATGCAGTGAGTCACTGTACAAGATGCAGTGAGTCACTGTACAAGATGCAGTGAGTCACTGTGTAAGATGCAGTGAGTCACTGTAGAAGATGCAGTGAGTCACTGTACAAGATGCAGTGAGTCACTGTACAAGATGCAGTGAGTCACTGTACAAGATGCAGTGAGTTACTATACAAGATGCAGTGAGTCACTATACAGGATGCAGTGAGTCACTGTACAAGATGCAGTGAGTCACTGTACAAGATGCAGTGAGTCACTGTACAAGATGCAGTGAGTCACTGTACAAGATGCAGTGAGTCACTGTACAAGATGCAGCTTGAGTCACTGTACAAGATGCAGTGAGTCACTGTACAAGATGCAGCTTGAGTCACTGTACAAGATGCAGTGAGTCACTGTACAAGATGCAGTGAGTCACTGTACAAGATGCAGCTTGAGTCACTGTACAAGATGCAGCTTGAGTCACTGTACAAGATGCAGCTTGAGTCACTGTACAAGATGCAGTGAGTCACTGTACAAGATGCAGTGAGTCACTGTACAAGATGCAGCTTGAGTCACTGTACAAGATGCAGCTTGAGTCACTGTACAAGATGCAGTGAGTCACTGTACAAGATGCAGTGAGTCACTGTACAAGATGCAGTGAGTCACTGTACAAGATGCAGTGAGTCACTGTACAAGTTGCAGTGAGTCACTGTACAAGTTGCAGTGAGTCACTGTACAAGTTGCAGTGAGTCACTGTACAAGATGCAGTGAGTCACTGTACAAGATGCAGTGAGTCACTGTACAAGATGCAGAGTCACTGTACAAGATGCAGAGTCACTGTACAAGATGCAGTGAGTCACTGTACACGATGCAGTGAGTCACTATACAAGGTGCAGTGAGTCACTGTACAAGATGCAGTGAGTCACTGTACAAGATGCAGTGAGTCACTATACAAGATGCAGTGAGTCACTGCACAAGATGCAGTGAGTCACTGTACAAGATGCAGTGAGTTACTGCACAAGATGCAGTGAGTCACTGTACAAGATGCAGTGAGTCACTGTACAAGTTGCAGTGAGTCACTGTACAAGACGCAGTGAGTCACTGTACAAGTTGCAGTGAGTCACTGTACAAGATGCAGTGAGTCACTGTACAAGATGCAGTGAGTCAATGTACAAGTTGCAGTGAGTCACTGTACAAGACGCAGTGAGTCACTGTACAAGTTGCAGTGAGTCACTGTACAAGATGCAGTGAGTCACTATACAAGTTGCAGTGAGTCACTGTACAAGATGCAGTGAGTCACTGTACAAGATGCAGTGAGTCACTGTACAAGATGCAGCTTGAGTCACTGTACAAGATGCAGTGAGTCACTGTACAAGATGCAGTGAGTCACTGTACAAGATGCAGCATGAGTCACTGTACAAGATGCAGCTTGAGTCACTGTACAAGATGCAGCTTGAGTCACTGTACAAGATGCAGCTTGAGTCACTGTACAAAATGCAGTGAGTCACTGTACAAGATGCAGTGAGTCACTGTACAAGATGCAGCTTGAGTCACTGTACAAGATGCAGTGAGTCACTGTACAAGATGCAGCATGAGTCACTGTACAAGATGCAGCTTGAGTCACTGTACAAGATGCAGCTTGAGTCACTGTACAAGATGCAGCTTGAGTCACTGTACAAGATGCAGCTTGAGTCACTGTACAAGATGCAGCTTGAGTCGCTGTACAAGATGCAGCTTGAGTCACTGTATAAGATACAGCTTGAGTCACTGTACAAGATGCAGTGAGTCACTGTGCAAGATGCAGCATGAGTCACTGTACAAGATGCAGCTTGAGTCACTGTACAAGATGCAGCTTGAGTCACTGTACAAGATGCAGCTTGAGTCACTGTACAAGATGCAGTGAGTCACTGTACAAGATGCAGCTTGAGTCACTGTATAAGATACAGCTTGAGTCACTGTACAAGATGCAGTGAGTCACTGTACAAGATGCAGTGAGTCACTGTATAAGATACAGCTTGAATCACTATACAATTGGTGACCAAACGACACTTCAGAAGATGGAGAGACGACAGCGTTTCGGTCCGTCGCGGACCATCAACAAGTCGTGAGTGTAAGACATAAACACACGACTTGTTAATGGAGAAACGTCGTCGTCTGCTCATCTTCTGATGAGTGGTTTTGGTCATCATATCATCAGCCTCGTTATTGTGACTCATCGTCTGCACATGTACAATTATTTTTTCCTTGAAAGATTCAAGGAATTTAGAACTTTCTTGTCGAAGGGAAGATCTCTTTGTAAACACAGTTGCTACCAACATGTAGCCTCCTGCCTCATTAATGTCTCGGCTACTAATCACCAAAATCACTAATGGTTATCTTATCTTGAGGTTATCTTGAGATGATTTCGGGGCTTTAGTGTCCCCGCGGCCCGGTCCTCGACCAGGAAGCAGCCCGTGACAGCTGACTAACACCCAGGTACCTATTTTACTGCTAGGTAACAGGGGCATAGGGTGAAAGAAACTCTGCCCATTGTTTCTCGCCAGCGCCTGGGATCGATCCCGGGATCACAGGATTACAAGTCCAGTGTTCTGTCCGCTCGGCCGACCGGCTCCCCTGGTACTTACAATCATATTCACTATTAATGAATCACTGTAATTATATTAATTAAATTAGTCATTACATTAATGACTTCTCAGACTATAACAAATGTGTGATGCCAACGTTTCTACCAATCACTTAGGAATGTCAGCGTAACCAGCAAGGATAGTGTCGGCAGTCACAGCCCCGCTCCTGTGGCGGGTAAGTCCACTACGGGCTCACCATAGCCCGTGCTACTTGCCCCGCTCCTGTGGCGGGTAAGTCCACTACGGGCTCACCATAGCCCGTGCTACTTGCCCCGCTCCTGTGGCGGGTAAGTCCACTACGGGCTCACCATAGCCCGTGCTACTTGCCCCGCTCCTGTGCCAGGTAAGTCCACTACGGGCTCACCATAGCCCGTGCTACTTGCCCCGCTCCTGTGCCAGGTAAGTCCACTACGGGCTCACCATAGCCCGTGCTACTTGCCCCGCTCCTGTGCCAGGTAAGTCCACTACGGGATCACCATAGCCCGTGCTACTTGCCCCGCTCCTGTGCCAGGTAAGTCCACTACGGGCTCACCATAGCCCGTGCTACTTGCCCCGCTCCTGTGCCGGGTAAGTCCACTACGGGCTCACCATAGCCCGTGCTACTTGCCCCGCTCCTGTGCCAGGTAAGTCCACTACGGGATCACCATAGCCCGTGCTACTTGCCCCGCTCCTTAGCTCCGGGTCTCACTCAAGCTCTTAACTCTCTCATGCTCGGGGCCTGGCTCAAGCTCTTAGTTCACTCAAGCTCGGGGCCTGGCTCAAGCTCTTAGTTCACTCAAGCTCGGGGCCTGGCTCAAGCTCTTAGTTCACTCAAGCTCCGGGCCTGGCTCAAGCTCCTAGTTCACTCAAGCTCGGGGCCTGGCTCAAGCTCTTAGTTCACTCAAGCTCCGGGCCTGGCTCAAGCTCTTAGTTCACTCATGCTCGGGGCCTGGCTCAAGCTCTTAGTTCACTCAAGCTCGGGGCCTGGCTCAAGCTCTTAGTTCACTCAAGCTCGGGGCCTGGCTCAAGATCTTAGTTCACTCAAGCTCGGGGCCTGGCTCAAGCTCTTAGTTCACTCAAGCTCGGGGCCTGGCTCAAGCTCTTAGTTCACTCAAGCTCGGGGCCTGGCTCAAGCTCTTAGCTCACTCAAGCTCTTAGTTCACTCATGCTCGGGGCCTGGCTCAAGCTCTTAGTTCACTCAAGCTCGGGGCCTGGCTCAAGCTCTTAGTTCACTCATGCTCGGGGCCTGGCTCAAGCTCTTAGTTCACTCATGCTCGGGGCCTGGCTCAAGCTCTTAGTTCACTCATGCTCGGGGCCTGGCTCAAGCTCTTAGTTCACTCAAGCTCGGGGCCTGGCTCAAGCTCTTAGCTCACTCAAGCTCGGGGCCTGGCTCAAGCTCTTAGTTCACTCAAGCTCGGGGCCTGGCTCAAGCTCTTAGCTCACTCAAGCTCGGGGCCTGGCTCAAGCTCTTAGTTCACTCAAGCTCGGGGCCTGGCTCAAGTTCTTAGCTCACTCAAGCTCGGGGCCTGGCTCAAGCTCTTAGTTCACTCATGCTCGGGGCCTGGCTCAAGCTCTTAGTTCACTCATGCTCGGGGCCTGGCTCAAGCTCTTAGTTCACTCAAGCTCGGGGCCTGGCTCAAGCTCTTAGCTCACTCAAGCTCGGGGCCTGGCTCAAGCTCTTAGTTCACTCAAGCTCGGGGCCTGGCTCAAGCTCTTAGTTCACTCAAGCTCGGGGCCTGGCTCAAGCTCTTAGTTCACTCAAGCTCGGGGCCTGGCTCAAGCTCTTAGCTCACTCAAGCTCGGGGCCTGGCTCAAGAGTCCTGGGCTCGGCTATCATGAGACGTCATTACATTTCCAACATTACTGTTGTAACCAAGACTATTAATTAATTAAATCAACATAAACCACAATATACTTTGATTGTTGTCACCCAAAATCGTAATTAACAACAATCCCATATAACACAACGGCCATTGAAGCAGGTAAACTCACTCACCTTAGGAAGTTCTTTGACAAAACTCTACTGTGTTGTGTGAGCTGCCCCGACGAGATGTTACGGTGTGTTGGCGGCCATCTTGGTGTCAACACTCAGTATTACCACCATAGTCTCGCTCCCGAAGCTGTTTAGATAACATTAAGCAGATAAGCACAAGCAAGATAACGGTCAGCTGATAAGGGAAAGGTGCAGACTTTCTCTTAAATGTCTTCTTTATTTTCTTCTGAATGCTGTTGCTTTACGAAAATAGATTTGTAAAAATATATTTTAGTAGCCTACGTGTGAAAGGTCACCAGCACCCACCGGTCATATATATATATATACCTGGTTGATGGGGTTCTGGGAGTTGTTCTACTGCCCAAGCCCGGCCCGAGGCCATGCTTGACTTGTGAGAGTTTGGTCCACCAGGCTGTTGCTTGGAGCGGCCCGCAGGCCCACATATACCTTGTTGATGGGGTTCTGGGAGTTCTTCTACTCCCCAAGCCCGGCTCGAGGCGAGGCTTGACTTGTGAGAGTTTGGTCCACCAGGCTGTTGCTTGGAGCGGCCCGCAAGTCCACATACCCACCACAGCCCGGTACCCAAGACCACTCCACCCACTTATTATCTCCCTCTATCCATATAATATTGTAATACATATGTACACCCCACCCTGCCAACACGACAGCTGTACATTGGAGGAAAAACTAAAAGAGGTATGATCACTGTATACAAAATACCTTTAGGGAAGAGACACTGTGGACAGGAACAACTTTCAATTGAGATATAATATAACAAAGCGACTTGAACTGAAGAGTGTGTCGAGGACGCTTGATGAGCAGTTGACACCTTAACCTGGAAAATGTTATGTTGTTTATGTATTTCAGGTGAAAAATGGCCCGATCTTTTTTATAGTGAACACAGACCGTGAGACAACAGAATGGGCACCGCCGTAATTAATGCAGCGAACCGGTTGGGTCGTACAATTGGACTTTATATGTAAGATATCTGAACTATCCATAAAGTGGGCAAAAGAACATTGAACGTCCGCAAGCTGAAGCACCATGTCTAAACTTCCAACATGTATTGGGAGCGGTTGACTGTCAAATCCAATTTTAGCAGTACAGATGGGGCGAGTATGTTTACCACTAAGGAAGTGGATGAGCCTGACCACATGGCCAATAGAGTGCCCTCTGGTATCCTGTCTTAATATCACAATGGTACTCTTGAAGATCCCTGCCTCCAACAGACAGAGATGACAGTAAAGTATTACAATAATGCTGTCACTGTATTAGAAAAATACTATCAGTGTATTAGAATAATACTGTCACTATTAGAATCATACTGTTGCTGTATTACAATAATACCCACATTATCATTCAGCCAAACATTTTAAGTGATGGTTACTGAACCTGACTACCGTGAAGCAAGCGATCGGCTCTTCTTCAGATTGGACCTTGACATGACGAATGGCAGACTGTCTGAGACAGAGTTCACTGAGAATGAATCAGTAAATGGAGCACGTCCAACAATTCACTGAGAATGACTCAGTCTACCATCACCTCCCTAGCTAATAACAACACTTAGTGCCTTCACCTTCCCTGCTGGACTTGTACTTGTTAAAGAGTATACTATTGTCATTGTTGACGTGTTTGTTTAGTCTTTGCGTGGTAGTTGTACGAGAATTTAAAATTTGTTCATCTGTATAATTAAGATACAAAATATCTGGTTCACTCATGGACCAAGCATAGCATTCAGTACGGCAGTGTGTAAGATATTAGAACAGAGCTAAGGGCGAGTATGACGATATAAGGAGCCGTCGTTACAATCATTGAGAAGCTTGTAAGGAGTGGAGAGCTTGTCTCCACACTTGCCAGGTAGTAGTCTGGGTCTGAGTGGCAACCCAGACCTATAAAAGAATACCAGTCCTCCAATGCCTGCTTGACCCAGCTCTAGCTAGGCCCACTAGCCAGTTTATTCAGTCGGGTCCCAGTGAATCTTGTGTTTTACCCCTATACCTCCAGAAAAAGAAGTATGCTGATCCCAAGAGCTACAGCCGCCGGGTAGACTCAACATGAAAGGAAACGAGGTCTATACAGATTTTCATGTACGACAAACACATCGGTGGTAAACCCAGACAAGTTTGGTCTTGCTTCTACCCCAGCAGGTGTCTAGATGAACCTGCCAACAGAACATCTGGACACAAGAAAACACACACTCATCTGTGTGGAAGGGGAGGGAGAGAGAGAGGCAAACCGACCAAGCCAAGTTTTAATAGTCATTCTTGATACTCTGTGCAGAAGAGTGCAGGGGGTCTATGCTTCAGTGTTCACTTCATGGCATTGTACCCAGTCCATGTGTGTTTCTTAACTTTGAACTCAGCATCAGCTTAGTTTCAGGGTTCTCTGGTGCTCTGTGAAGACTTAACGGCCACCAGAATTAACTCCGAGGTCAGTGGGTACCCTTCAGCTGGTATGTCATCTTTTAAGACAGTCCTCTACCTTAACAGTCCTTTGGAACTTTTCAACATGCTGAGGCCTTGGCACTGAGGCTTAAGATACATCCACTTGCAGTCCATGTGCAGCGTTGTTCGGGCAATCAGGTGCTGGGCAGGCTACTGATGTCAAGAGTTCGAGTAAATTGTTTCTTATTTATTTCTGTTAATCCATATGAATTTAATCCATGACTGAACTTTGACATACTTTCCATGCAGTACTGTATTTTCATATTTTTGGGGGAAGACAAAGCATATGTATATACAGTATACTTAAGGCTTTTATTGAGCTTCTCCCAAGGTCAAACTACTGACCCTCCTCAGGCTGCAATCCCACAACAGTTGCCTAACTTCCAGGTACCTATTTACTACTAGGTGAAACGTCCCCCCATCATTTGTCCCACCAGGTAATCACACTCTGGATTCTCAATTGCGAGTAGAAAGTAAGTATTGTAATTATCAAAAGGCGGCACCAAACCGGGAAGGTTATATAGCACTTGCGAGTAGAAAACGAAGCCTGATTCTGCTGTGTGCAGTTTCCCAGGTATGACTAGGTGTTTGTTGACCAAGATGACCCCCCCCTCCCCACTTTGCTGTCTTGACCATGCCTCTTGTTGGGTTCAAGATCTGTTTCACCCTCTACTGTGTGACATTAGTAATCTGATCATCATCTTGGGTGGACCAACACTAATTTTATTAAGTGATGCCTCACTAGCAAGCAGGCTTGCACCCAGTTTATGTACTTGCGGTTCCTGGCATTTGCCGGTGGAGAGTAAGTGGTCTCCCTCGTTTTTTGTTTAGGCTTTAGTCCTCGTACCATACGAGAGATGGGAGTCCTGGGGGGAAGGGAGGGAGAAAGGTGTGTGTCCGTGCTCCGATATCAAGCCGAAATATTCCAGGTTTTGTAGGGTTATGGTAATTGAACATTAATCACAGACATCATCAAGTGCATAGCAACTCGTAGTAAAATAGAGTACAATGATTAACATTAAAACTTTGTTAGAGAATAAATGCCACACTGGTCCATGTGGGAGTCAGTGCCATGAGGTCCATGTTTACATATGTTTACGGGGAACCCCGGAACGTTTAGTCGGGAACACATGGAGAGACTGAAGTGTTTAAGTGCTGAAGTATGGCACATGGCAAAAGACCACTACCTATTGATGATTCCAAAGATCATCGTCCCCATAGTCCAGTTTCCTTCTGGTCTGATCAACCAGGCTATCTGATGCGGCTGCTCACAGCCTGACATACAAGTAACACTGGATGATCAGATATCCTTTGAAGGTGTTTGTAGAGTTCTGTTTTGAACACAGAGAGGTCAGCCTGTTATGCCCCGTATCTTTTATAAAATTGTTACGATTCATTTACTCATCTCCATCCGTTCTCTGCAATCAAAATGTTAGAATTTTCAACAGGTAAATAAATATTTGCACCAAAATTAAATTGTAATATATTTTATTTTTACAAAAGAGAGGAACAGAAGAGGTACCATGTATAAATATTTACATGTATTTGTGAGGGTAAGGTTTTTCCATGAGTTTTTGTATATAAAGAAATAAAAACATACAGTACAATTCTTCCTGAATTGCTGTACTTACAAAACTAAAATCTAGTTATTTCTCTTTCCTAATATTCTAGTTATAGAATGATAGATGCACAAAATACTGTTGTGGTCACCGGTTGCAACTTGAGAGAGAGAGAGAGTGCAGTTTACACCTGTGGTGTTCCTCACCACACAGTATGGTTACATCAACACCATATATATATTTCTACATAAGAATATGTCAGCATCACCACCCCAGGCACGTGTCACACTAATGCTGTGTGCAAATCTTGCTCCCGTTATCAACACACACTGTTTTACCAGAGGTGTACTTTATGCACCTATTTCACATACACAAGCCATGTCATATCACATATTAAATATATAAAATATGCATTTTTTTATGTATTATACAGTTTAGAAGTCTAGTAGCATGACACACTTTAATTAAATTGTTTGAAAATACTGTAAATCCTTATTTAGAAACAATTCTTGAAGTGCAATACTAAAATAATATTTTTTAATCCAGACAAAATGAGTGCTTCCAAAAGTTCTGGAGGAAAAGTAATCACAATATAATGCAATTTGAATCATAAAAGAATTCTTTCCAGATACAGTATCACATTCCTAAACTGAATTCAGATTTTGATCATTTAAAGTCATATATTTACTTCTGTGGCAAAATAAATTTATGGAAAATACAACTGACATATATCTCTGGTACATAATTTCAAGCAGTCTCATACACAAACTACTACATTTTCTAGTGTACAAAAATAATATAACATTTGTGCTTCCATCAATCACTGTGTTTTGCATTCCTCTCCACGAGCAGTAGAGCACGAAGCCCTGGAGCGAGTGGTGATGCTTGACGACCTCACACTTTGAGAACGTCTACTGCTGGCTCGGATAGGACTGTTGGGGTTTAATGACTTGAGAGGTCCGCCATCCTAATAACAAGACAAACAACACATGTAATCATTATCTAGTATGAAAGCAAGAAAGCAACATATCTTGAGGTTATCTTGAGATGATTTCGGAGCTTTTTAGTGTCCCCGCGGCCCGGTCCACGACCAGGCCTCCACCCCCAGGAAGCAGCCCGTGACAGCCGACTAACACCCAGGTACCTAATTTACTACTAGGTAACAGGGGCATAGGGTGAAAGAAACTCTGCCCATTGTTTCTCGCCGGCGCCTGGGATCGAACCCAGGACCACAGGATCACAAGTCCAGCATGCTGTCCGCTCGGCCGACCGGCTCCCTTTATACTTTAAGTTACTAAGTAAGTACTTCATAAAATGCTGTTGGAACTCAGGAACTAGGATCTCTTGTTGTACACTACCAGTTTTAGAGATACACTACAATAATTAAAGATCCAAGGCCATTATTCTACAATTACTGAATATATCAAGTCCCAAAGAGTGAAATAAAAATGCTAAGTCTTCTACTAATAATTACCTGTAATTCTATTTAATTGTCCATATAAATTCAATGTCTGCCAAGAGTATAAGATCTAGTGGCTGCAACACTTACAATATCACTCCATACCCATTACCATATTTCCACAGTTACAGCAAGGTCTGCAAATGGAAAAGGATGGAAAAAGGAAAGAGACTAGTAGCTGCAACATAACAGCAAGAGTGGAATAATGTCTCACTGCACCATGAAAATAATATGGCAAAGGTATTTTGTTATCAATATCACCACCCACCATACTCCAATAATTCAACACTATCTTAAAAATAATCCACAGCAACAAGAAATAAAAATACAGGTTAGTATTCCAACCTACCCTCTTGAATAACACATCATATCTTGAGATGATTTTCATATGTTGCCGTCAAAATCCTGGATGACAAAATATGCTGTCCAGTGCTATAAATCATAGTGGCTCACAAACAACTATATTTTCTATGTGTGAGGCCATCACTTAGGTTAGGGCAACTTAGTGTATCAAATTACACAACATTTTCTGTTTGTTGTGATAACTCAAGAGGATGAGCTAAGTATTCATGCTGACCATTTTAAAATAATATTGCCAATACAGAATACAGTAGGTATGTATATTCTTACATAAAGGGGCTGAATTAATTACCTGCTTGATAGGGTTCTGAGAGTTGTTCTACTCCCCAATCCCAGCTCAAGGCCAGGCTCGACTTGAGAGCTTGGTCAAATGGGCTGTTCCTTGGAGCAGACTGCATACCCACCACAGCTCGGTTGGTCCGGCACTTCTTGAAGAAGACTACTGTACTGTATCTAGTTTTCTCTTGATGTCCACGGTTGTTCCGGCAATATTTCTTAAACTCGCAGGGAGGATGTTGAACAACCGTGGACCTCTGATGTTTATACAGTGTTCTTTGGTTGTGCCTATGGCACCTCTGCTCTTCACTGGTTCTATTTTGCATTTTCTTCCACATCGATCACTCCAGTATGTTGTTATTTTACTGTGCAGATTTGGGACCTGGCCCTCCAGTATTTTCCAAGTGTATATTTAATATCTCTCTTGTCTCCTTTCTTGCGAGTACATTTCGAGAGCTTTGAGACAATCCCAATAATTTAGGTACTTTATCTCGTCTATGTGTGCCATATATGTTCTCTGTATTCCTTCTATTTCAGCAATCTCTCCTGCTTTGAAAGGGAAAGTGAGTACTGAGCAGTACTTAAGACGGGACAACACAAGTGATTTGAATAGTAAAACCATTGTGATGGAATCCCTGGATTTGAAAGTTCTCGTAATCCATCCTATAATTTTTCTGGCTGACGCAATATTTGCTTGGTTATGCTTCCTAAACGTTAGGTCGTCAGACATTATTCCCAAATCCTTTACATGCTGCTTTCCTACTATGGGCAGATTTGACTGTGTTTTGTACCCTGTATTATGTTTAAGGTCCTCATTTTTAGCATATTTGAGCACCTGAAATTTATCACTGTTAAACATCATGTTATTTTCTGCTGCCCAGCCAAAAGCTTTATTAATATCTTCTTGTAGTTTTTCAATGTCTTCAGCAGAGATAATTTTCATGCTGATTTTGTGTCATCTGCAAAGGATGATATGAAGCTGTGACTTCAAAGTGTATCTATAATTTTTTTTCTATAATTGATTTTTGTCTATAACTGATATGAAAATAAGGAAAAGTAGTATTGCAAGGACTGTACCCTGAGGAATAGCTATTAACTGCGCATGGACTCAATTTTATATGGTTGACTGTTACTCTTTGTGTTCTGTTTGACAGAAAACCGAGTATCCAGCGTCCTACTTTACCAGTTGTTTCCATTGACCTCATTTTGTGTGCTATCACTCCATGGTCACATTTATCAAATGCCTTTGCAAAGTCCGTGTAAATCACACCTGCATTCTGTTTTTCTTCTAATGCCTCAGTGACTTTGTGATAGTGGTCAAGTAGTTGTGAGAGGCACGATCTTTCCACTCTAAATCCATGTTGGCCTGGGTTGAGGTGGTCATTGGTCTCCATGAATCTAGTGACCTGACTCCTAATCACTCTCTCAAATACTTTTATTATGTGGGACGTTAGTGCAACTGGTCTATAATTCTTTGCCAATGGTTTGCTCCCTCCCTTGTGTAGTAGGGCTATGTCTGCTGATTTAAGTGCATCTGGTATCTGCCCCATGTCTAAGCTCTTCCTCCACACTATACCGAGTCTCTGTGCTACTGGCACTTTGCATTTTTTTTATAAATACTGAATTGAATTCCATGAGTCTAGACCCGGGGGGCTGAGTGCATGGGCATGTTGTCAATTTCTCTGTCAAAATCTGCCACACTCGTGTTTATGTCAGTTATATTTACAGGGGGTTCGGATATCACGCATAAAGAAGTTGTCTGGATCTTCCAATTTCATGCTATTTATTGGAGTGCTAAACATGTCCTCATACTGTTTTTTTAAGGATTTCACTAATTTCTTTGTCATCCTCCGTGTATGAACCTTCACTTGTATGAATAGGTCCAATACTGGCAGTGGTTTTTGCTTTTAATTTTGCATATGTGAAGAAATATTTTGGATTTTTCTTTATTTCTTGAATTGCTTTCTGTTCTAGTTGCCTTTCTCCAATTTGATATGAATGCTTCAGTTTCCCTGTTTAAAGTATTCCTTCTTTGTATGGAAAGTCGTGTCTGCTGAAGCATTTCTGTTATTTATTTTTTCTACTTCTGTAATGTCGTCTGCATTCTCTTTCTGGTTTTCCTCAAAGGAACATGTTTCACACAGACTTTATATGCCTCGGAAGTCAGTTTTTCTATTCCCAGTGTAGAAGTTGTATTACTTAAAACAGTTTCCCACTGAATGTTTGAAAGTTGCCTGTCTACTTTTTTGAAAGTTTTCTACCAGTCTATCCTTTTATTATTAACATTGAATTTACTAAATAAACCCTCTCGCTTGATCATTGTTTTAGGTCTATTCTGAGTATTGATGGTAGTTTGCACTTGAATGAGCGTGTGATCTGAGTATGTGGTATCTGAGATCATAATGTCCCTGATTATGTCTTCATTGTTTGTGAAGACCAGATCAAGAATATTTTCGTTCCTAGTTGGCTCTGATATCTGCTGGTTGAGTGAAAATTTGTCATGGAATCTAAGTAATTCCCTAAGCTGTGTTTGGTTATGTTCAGATTTCCTGTTATAATATTATAGTTTGCTATTCTCCATCTTAGACTAGGCAGGTTCAAGTCACCTAGGAGGATAATATCAGGTACAGTATTGGGTTTGCAAAATTATCACCTTGAGGTTACCTTGAGGTGTTTCCAGGGCTTAGCGTCTCCGCGGCCCGGTCGTCGACCAGGCCTCCTCGTTGCTGGACTGGTCAACCAGGTTGTTGGACGCGGCTGCTCGCAGCCTGACGTATGAGTCACAGCCTGGTTGATCAGCTATCCTTTGGAGGTGCTTATCGAGTTCTCTCTTGAACACTGTGAGGGGTCGGCCAGTTATGCCCCTTATGTGTAGTGGAAGTGTGTTGAATAGTCTCGGGCCTCTGATCTTGATAGAGTTCTCTCTCAGAGTACCTGTTGCACCTCTGCTTTTTAACCCTTAAACTGCGCATGGCGTATATATACGCCCTGAGTAATTGTCCCATGGTGCGCATGGTGTATATATACGCCATAGGGTGCCAGGCCTGATTCAAATGGCCAGCGGCTACACGGGGTTCACAGTAGCTTCCTCAGGGCTCTTGTAAACAGATGCCATTTTAAAAAAAAATCGTGGGCAATATTCTCAAGTGTGAGAGGCACAATGCTGTTGGAGCAACCAAGGCCGGCGCACGCAGCATGAGCGAACAGCATTGATGTTCAGCTTGTGACCACAGCATCGCCGAAAAATGTCAAAATAAATATATAATTGTTATTATTTAGCGATGACAATATTACAGATGACCCATGACTGTGATATAAATAACCAGGGTTGTGATAATAGCAGGATTGTTGTAATAATTAGTGCTGTGGGAGGAGTGATGCTGAGAGACGGAGGGAGACAGCATCGTTTACTGACTGTGTGGCCACCTGTTATTGTTTGCATTCACCATACCAGGTCAGTGGTTCTCTATGATGAACACAAATGTAGATACTTATATATAATGTGTGTATTAGTGTAATAACAGCAAAAGGATTATGCTGGGAGGAGCCATATGGGTGACGGAGGTGACGTCGTCTGCACGATTTGTCTAGCTGTTTAGAGGGTGGCCACTATGCTCTTTGGGCGCACTACAAGCTTAGGTGTACAGTTACGGTGCATAAAACATGTAGATATTTATATATAATATGTGTATATAGGGTAATAACACTGCAAAAGGTATTGTTGGGGGAGAAAGTTTAGTGTGTGTGACCTTGAAAGAGTGAGGGAGCCGCCAGCTGGCTGTGTGTATAGCGACGACTCTTAGTGCCTGAACTAACTATATCAGCTTAGCTGTACAGTTGTGGTGAACAAAATATACACATACTTATATATAACGTCTGTATATAGTTTAATAACACCACAAATGGTATTGTTGGGGAAGAAAGTTTAGTGCGTGTGTTGAGGGAGTGGCAGTGAGTGGCTGGCTGGTGTGTGGCGGTAACTCCTCGTTGCTTTTCGACTCTCAATACCAACTTAGTGGCTCGTTATGGTGACCAAAACATGCCAATACTTATATATAACCTGTGCATAGAGTGTAATAGCAGCAAAACTATTTGTTTATAGTTTTATAAACATAATAATTGAATCACTAATATGCACATCATACTTTTAAGTATAGCGATTATTAACCACTTTTATTATATAAATATATTACAATACACACTATTGAATAATATTACTGCAAAAAAAACTAAGAAAAAATCAATCGGAGACATTGAAACAATTAGGTAATAATATCTTTGTGGCAACTCCCATCTGTCAACGCGGGTGACGCTGACCGGGTCTGACGACCGCTCTGTCAACGCCCACTTTTTGCCAGACTTCCTCGGCCAATTGCGCCCAAAATATGTCACCTACGATTTTTTTTTATTTTTTCCGTGCTCAGGGGACACAAATTAACATGTTTAGAAGACGAAAAATTTTTTTTGAATTTTTTTTTTTCTTGCGCACAGGGGTGTAAATGTCCCAAGGACCCCTGAGCAGTGTAAGGGTTAAGAGGGGTATTCTGCACATCCTGTCATGTCTTCTGGTCTCATGTGATGTTATTTCTGTGTGTAGGTTTGGGACCAACCCCTCTACTATTTTCCATGTGTAAATAATTATGTATCTCTCCCATCTGCACTCAAGAGAATACAGACTTAGGCTTTTTAGTCAGTCCCAATAGTTTAGATGTTTTACCGAGTGGTTTCTAGCAGTAAAGGATTTCTGCACGCTCTTCAGATCAGCAATTTTTCCAGCTTTGAAAGGGGCTGTCATTGTGCAGCAGTACTCCACTCTAGAGAGCACTAGCGTCTTGTAAAGTATCATCATCAGTACAGCATCTCTAGTGTGAAAGGTTCTTGTTATCCAACCTGTCATTTTTCTTGCTGTTGTGACGGTTACTATATTGTGTTCTTTAAAGGTAAGGTCTTCCGACATGAGTACACCCAGATCCTTTACATTACCTTTCCGTTCTATGTTGTGATTTGACTGCTTTTTGTACGTGGTTTCTGTTTTTATATTTTCATTTTTTCCATAGCACATGAGCTGGAACTTATCTTCGTTAAACACCATATTTTCTGTAGCCCATAGAAAGACCTGATCTACATCTGACTGGAGGTTTGCCGTGTCCTCTATGTTGTCTACTCTTATAAAAATCCTAGTGGCAACTGCAAAGTGCTATAGATTGTGTCCTTGTCTATGTCCGATATGAGGATGAGAAAAAGTACTGGAGCAAGCACAGTATCTGGGGGACTGAACTCTTCACGGTTGATGAACTGTGAAGAGCGATTTTATTTTATTGACTTTTACACATTGGGTTCTGTTAGTCAGGAAATTGTAGATCCATCTACCTATTTTTCCGGTAAGTCCTTTTGAATGCATTTTATGTACAATAACACCATGGTCACATTTGTCAAAGGCTTTTGCAAAATCTGTGTAAATTACATCAACGTTTTGCTTGTCTTCCATGACATTTAATGCCATGTCATAGTGGTGCTTAGTGGTTCAGCAACTGTGACAGGCAAGAGCACCCTGTTCTGAAACCATGTTGTCCTGGGTTATGGAGATGCTGTGATTCCATGTATTTTGTGATCTTACTTCTTAGCACTCTCTCAAAGATTTTTATGATGTGCGATATTAGCGCTATCGGTCTGTAATTTTTTGCCTCTGCCTTATTTCCTACTTTATGAAGTGGTGCTATCTCTGCTGTTTTTAGTATGTCTACTTTCAAGTGTGGTCTAGAACAGACACTTGCGAGATACTGTACCAACTCTCAGTGCGCTCAACTCACACCATTGCTCGCCAAAGTATCACCTCCATACTTCTGTATACTCGACCAAATATATATATTATCTTAGTGTTTGTGTTTATTGTCACCATACTTTACGTAACAATAGAACCGTTACATTAACGCCAGTATCTAGGATTTGTCTCCAAAGAATGTGAATCAAGGTTATTCTCTAGCTTGTTTATCTGTTCTGTGAATTCCTCAGCTGTTTGAAAATTGAGGCAAACAGCCAGCAGTTTGTAGATTAGAATAATAACCAAGTTTATTTTCTCAGTTTTACTCCGAGTACTTTTACCACCTCATTTGTAGAGTTAAGGAGCTCCGAGCAAACAAGGTCTTCCCTAATATACAGACCATGTGTCCTATTCACCCTCTCTGACCTATTAATTTATATAATTAAGAATACATGTCTATACATAAAAGTGTAGACATCCAGCCAAGTCATAACAAAACAAGCCAATACATAATTAATCTTCAATTTGCCCGGCCGGATGTGCATGCTACGAGGACACACATTCATGGTCCAGCTCATAAACTGAAAGAATGCACTATGATGCAAGACATGCGTGATTCACCTCACATGCTGAATGAATGTGCTATTAGGCCAATCTTGCATGATGCACCTTACATGATTTTTATGCTAAGCTAAACATGCATAACATTTGGCATGTTATGTTAGATGGATCATGCGCATGTTGCAAGCATAATCATGTAAGATACAGCATGCATTGTCTGGCATAACATGTTATGTAAGATGGATCACGAGACACCTTACACGATGAAACTGAAAATAATGAGAAATTGGCGAGCAAAGCTTGAGAGGCACGATTATTCTTATCTTTAAAAGAAAACAAAAATGTCAGCAAGACATTCTCCTCACCTGTAACTTTTCCCTTGAAGCAGCCCTCTTGGACAAGGTGTTTGACCGATGCACAACCCCAGTACTCTCTACGTCCTCAGAGGGTAAATAGTTCAGGCCTGATGGATAGCAAGTAAATAATCAGAAACAGGTACTGTACAGGAGTACGAACTCACACAACTATAACACTTCAAAATGCAGATGATGAGTCACAATAACGTGGCTGAAGGATGTTGACCAAACCACACACTAGAAGGTGAAAAGACGACGATGTTTCGGTCCGTGGTGGACGATCATCAAGTTGATCGTGTTGAAACAAGCGAGTCACATAGTAACACAACCCATTCTTATTCCTATTATTTTCCCCTTACACCCTTTATTACACCTATCCCTTCCATACCTCTCGCCGTGCTCTTACCTTCCTCTAAGCTTTCCTCCTCCTTCTCACCTCTCTCTTGCTTTACTTAAGCCCGTGCCTCCCACGGTTCAACACAATCAACATGATAACGGTCCAGGACGGACCGAAACGTCATTGTCTTTTTATCTTTTATCTTGAGGTTTAGTCAACACTTCAAAAAATGTTTCAAGTGTATTACTAAGTGCAAGCCAAAAAAGTGTTCTTGTGGGAGAGAGAAAAAAAAAGTTGTGTGTATTTATTTAGAGTAAAAAATTTGAAAACTTCATTCACAAGAAAACACCACAGATGCAGACAAGTGATTGTGTCTATTACATATTAATGAGTCGTGTTTTAAGCAAGTTCTACAGATTATGACATTTGTCTTGCTATAAGACTCCTTTACTGATCAACTGCAAACTGCAGATAAATATCTAGAGGGAGAGACATTATGCAGTCAGGTCCAATGAGGACTACAAATGTTTGGATTGTATCTGTTCAAGAACAATTATTGCAGACTGGAATATTTCAGGCAACAAACATAGTTGTCTCATGAGTACAAGGGTGCAGTGATTGCAGAGCTGTAACCATAACAAGATGCAAGAGTTGTGGATGCATAATGAGTACAATGAGTTCACTGATTAGAGCTGTAACCAAAACAAGGCGAGTTATGAGTGCATATAAGTACAAGGTACAATGATTACAGAGCTACAACAAAATGAATAATGAGTACAATGACTTTCAGAAGTGAAGGCCACTCATGGAACATACTGATTCAAGACAACATAATAAGTATTTTTGTGTGCAAGTTGTTATTGGACCCTCACTGGGATAAAATAACTCTTAGTACTGTACTTGGCAACAAAGATTACAGATCTACTCTCTCTCATGACAAAAACAGTAGTTGCCTTTGGGCTACACTTCCCAATACTTAATACTAAAGTCAGTTCTGATCAAATATTAAGTGCTTTTAAACTTAAGTTTAAATATGATGAAGTGTTCTTTACCTAATGAACAAATCCACAAGGGCCGTGACGAGGATTCGAACCTGCGCCCGAGAGCATCCCAGACGCTCTCGGATGCAGGTTCGAATCCTTGTCACGGCCCTTGTGGATTTGTTCATTTGATGCATCACGCAATTGTGATTTCTGTGTATTCTTTACCTATTCATAACATCTTTAACATCCCCCTCCCCCCAATCTATTTTCCTCTTAAGACACCAAACTCTAACATCTGAAAATAAAGGAAATTGATGGCATTTTGGTCCGTACTATATGAGTTCGCTTATCCGAAGCCCCCCCCTGATCAGAATATTTGGGTTATCTGCCAATTTTCTCAGTAGGATAATTTTCTGGCAAAACTTCACCATATCCAAATAGCAATTTGAATAACTGGAGATTCTGTTGTATACCACAGAGAGGCATTGGTCCATACCGTATTAATTCGGTGCAGTACTGGCTCGAGGCACGAGGTATGGGAAGTGTTGGTGTGGGTGGTGCCGGGGTAGCGGATGTTGGGAGGGTCAGGAGGGACTGATTACAATAAAAACTGAAGAATTATTGTCTAATATTAAAACAAATACAATTCTCTTAAAAACTGTATACAGGCTGAAGACTAGTTTCCTGCTCAAATTTGGGAATTTTTACTACCTGGTGGCCTACGTAACGTGCCCCAAGTGGACCCGTCCAGGCCTGGTCAACTTAAACAAGCCATGTGCTCTTGACCCCTTGAGTTATACCACAGTGCCATGCCATTACTCAAACATTTTCTCAAATAATTTTTTGCTTTTCATAGTAACTTTGATAATTGTTTGCTAACTCTATGTTTAGTAGCAGCAATAATCATTCTGGAGATGTTAGGAGGAAGCAGATTGTGATAACCATTAATGATAAGTTACGTGTCATAGAACTCTGAACATGGCCAGTCGGCTGCAAGTGTTGCCAAGGAATTTGGTATAGGCTCTAGTACTGTCTGTGATATAAAGAAACAAAAAGATGATCTCATGAAATACAGCAACAATGAGAGTAAGGGTGCAAGCACTAGTAGAGGGTGCAGTAGAAAACTTTGAAGCTTTTATACAATGTACAGTTGGATGAGGTTGGGTACACGTACACAGCACTGCATGGCTCATGTAACAATTTGCGGTGCAGAAATAAAAAATGCTACAAGCAGGTTTGCAACCACCCTTGGAATACAGGATTTCCAAGCAAGTGGTGGGTGTTAGGTTGCAAGTTTATGGTGAAGCACAATATTGTGACAAGGAAAACTGTCAGTGAAAAATTGAGCGCAGATAGCAGTGTTGAACCATTTACAGAAATTAAGAACACACAGTTTGTCTAACAACTTATATTCATATCAAATCTATAATGATGATGAAACTGTTACTGGTGAGGTGGATGAAGAGGCGGAGTACGAGGATGGCAGTGAAAAACAAACACCACAGACAACAAAATACAGTTTACTCATGTCGTCTGTTAACATATTAATTAATTTTTCATCAGTGTGTGCTAATGCAGAAGTTAAAAACATGTATCAGTACTTGAGGCAAACCAAAGAGCTGATCATAAGAGAGGCCAATGAACACAGCGGGCAATCTAAACGTTATTCTTATTTGCTAAGAACAGCAACCAAAAGCCCCTTCAAGCAGTGAAGCCTCACCAGAAAGCCAGGAGCCTTCAACCAATGAAGCTTCAGCAGCTGGCAGTCAAAACTAACCTTGCCAAGTTCATGTACAATAATTTTAGCGCTACGTAAGCGCTATTATTGATTTAAAGATAGACATTACTATACAGTACTATATGCAGCATCAGTCAACATGACGAACCACAACAAGGTAAAATGAAGTTTGTTTTGAAATTCCAGGACTGTTAAGATATATTTGTTAATTATAATGTGTGTAGAAATTCCAGTTATGTTGCTTGTGTTACAACACTAGAGAATATGTCCACTTTTGGACTGCCAGTCAAAATGGTGCTTATCCGGCAAGGGGTCCTTCTCATATAATTCGGGATAACTGAGCTCATATAGTAGTTCTCCTCCTCTAGTTCTACTCATTTTTCTCCTTCAGTTCTTCCCAATCATGCTGTTGTTGCCTTTCTTCACCAATTACAAGTTACTCTTAAAAATTAAAGCTACACCTATTGGTAACATTCATTTCTCTACAAATTTTCCTAGTCTCCCATTTTCCCTTACCATAATTATCTTCAACAATTTCAGAAAATAATTGTTGATTTACTAGTCATCACTCAACTTTCTCAAAAACTCATCCTCCACTTTTGACATCACTTGCAACATCCTCCACTTTTGACATCACTTGCAACATCCTCCACTTTTGACAACACTTGCAACATCCTCCACTTTTGACAACACTTGCAACATCCTCCACTTTTGACAACACTTGCAACATCCTCCACTTTTGACATCACTTGCAACATCCTCCACTTTTGACATCACTTGCAACATCCTCCACTTTTGACAACACTTGCAACATCCTCCACTTTTGACATCACTTGCAACATCCTCCACTTTTGACAACACTTGCAACATCCTCCACTTTTGACATCACTTGCAACATCCTCCACTTTTGACAACACTTGCAACATCCTCCACTTTTGACATCACTTGCAACATCCTCCACTTTTGACAACACTTGCAACATCCTCCACTTTTGACATCACTTGCAACATCCTCCACTTTTGACAACACTTGCAACATCCTCCACTTTTGACATCACTTGCAACATCCTCCACTCCACTTTTGACATCACTTGCAACATCCTCCACTTTTGACAACACTTGCAACATCCTCCACTTTTGACATCACTTGCAACATCCTCCACTTTTGACATCACTTGCAACATCCTCCACTTTTGACAACACTTGCAACATCCTCCACTTTTGACATCACTTGCAACATCCTCCACTTTTGACAACACTTGCAACATCCTCCACTTTTGACATCACTTGCAACATCCTCCACTTTTGACAACACTTGCAACATCCTCCACTTTTGACAACACTTGCAACATCCTCCACTTTTGACAACACTTGCAACATCCTCCACTTTTGACATCACTTGCAACATCCTCCACTTTTGACAACACTTGCAACATCCTCCACTTTTGACAACACTTGCAACATCCTCCACTTTTGACATCACTTGCAACATCCTCCACTTTTGACATCACTTGCAACATCCTCCACTTTTGACATCACTTGCAACATCCTCCACTTTTGACAACACTTGCAACATCCTCCACTTTTGACAACACTTGCAAACATTTTACACTAAACATATTCTATCATTCTTTCATCTCCCATCGCTTGGCACGGCTTCAAGCAGCAACCTTTTCCATGCATCCCTCTCCTCTTCATTACCCTCTTTTTATATTTTCAGTTTCATGCAGTACATCCCTTCCTTCCCCTTTCCACCATCTTAAAACCAATTTTACAGTCCCATTCCTAGTCATTTTACTTATATACTATAATACTTTGCATAGTTTCTTCATATTTTTGGCTTCCCTCCCCAGCTGCCTACTTCCTAACGGTAAGAGACCTAGAGCAATGTTTCTGTGGCGAGAACACCCACCCCCTACGTACACAAGAAACATTCCTCTCTCAACTGTAAGCACTTGAGCTCCACGAAAGAGTTCTTCACGGAATCGCTATAGGAATTAGATGGCCAAATTATTTATTCTCTCCACTTAAATTTTGCTTTTAGAGAAGCAAACTTACCTTGCTTAAATTTTGTTGAGAGTGTTTCCACAAAACTTGGTGACTCGGGCACAACAGTGGTACCCGATCGACGCTTCTTCTTGTCTTTTGATGTAGATGTGGATGATAAGACTCTTTTCATGGAATGCTTCATGGTATCATCTCCAAGGGAAGTTGTGCCAATTGAGCTGTGGGAGTAGGAACGCCTCGTTTGCATTTTATTCACTTGAGATCCTTTCGGAACGGCTTTCTCCTCCAAGTTGGCACCTGCGGATCTGCGCGATCTAGTGATACTTCTTTCTGGAGGGCTGTTTTTAAGGGCTTTGTTTGTTAAGGTTACGGAGCTAGAGCCAGGAGAGAGAGACAGCATCGACGCCCGACGCGTCACTGCACGCCGAGTCATTTGAGATACTGAAGAATTGACGTCCACTTGAGGTTGTGAATTGCCGATAATTTCTTGGCTATCCGATCTTTGAGAAGGTTGAGTGTCTGTACTCTCTTTCCTAAGATCACTTGCATGTAAAACTGTTATACAAGATGCCACTCTTGGACTTTTTTTCGGCCTACTTGGCTCATGTGGAGGTGCTTCTTTACTGTCGCTATTAGATTTCAACTTCTTTATTTGAGCTTGAAGGAGCAGTATCTTAGATTTCAAATTGTCATTTGCTTCTTGGAGATCGTGCATCTTTTTCATAACCTAAAATACAAACTTCCATTTTAAATACAGTACACATGTATACTTTCATACTACTATCTCTCCAAAGAAAAAAACCATGAACAAATAATTAAACAGTATTCAGAACTTAACATTTTCGCGCTCTGGACGAGCGAGTACCGTGTTACCCCAAGGTGGTCCAGGCATTCCACGGGAGCGCACGGTAATACTGAAAAGTGTATACTCTTTTCAACTTTGTCACCTTAATTCTAGTCATAGGTTTTTCAATTTGGTATCAATGTCTTCGCAATAGAATTCTCTACAGGACTAAATGTCTGTAAACTCCAAAAGCCCAGCTTACCACCCACAGCAAACAGAGAAAGTGACAGCACATTACCCCGGTGAGCATTCATCAAGAGCAATAAAATGTGTATACTCTTTTCACTTTGGTCACCAATTCTCGACCTAGGTCTTTCATTTTGGTATCAATGTGTTCGCAATAGAATTCAATACAGGAGTATATGCATTTAATGTAAAAAACCGCGGTGCACTCCACCCGCCGACAAGATGAAAGTGAGCCAAGGTTACCAGAAAGAGAGTGCTGTGCCACCCCAAGGCGCGCCTGGCATTCAATTAGAGCGTGCGGTAATACTGAAAAGTAAATACTCTTTTCAACTTTGTCATCTCAATTCTCGCCCTAGGTCTTTCATTTTGGTATCATTGTGTTCGCAATAGAATTCCCTACAGGAGTATATGCAAATATAAAGTCCAAGAGCCCGACATACCACCCGCACAAAACAAAGTGAGAGGGTGTTACCTAGTAGCGCGCAAGAGCAATAAAATGTGTACACTCTTTTCACTTTGGTCACCTCAATTCTCGTCCTAGGTCTTTCATTTTGGTACCATTGTGTTTGCAATATTCCCTACAGAAGTATATGTATATATAAAGTCCAAAAGCCCGGCATACCACCCACAGCAAACAGAGAAAGTGACAGCACGTTACCCCCGTGACTGCTCATCTAGAGCAATAAAATGTGTATACTCTTTTTCAACTTTGTTACCTCAATTCTGGTCCTAAGTCTTTCATTTTGGTATCAATGTATTCACAATGAAATTCCCTACGGGAGTATATGCATATAATGTCCAAAACTGCTGCGCGCCCCTCCCGCAGCCAAGCCGAATGCAGGCCAAATTGTTTAATTTTTTATGCCATGCTGCATCGTTACCGAACACTCGTCTACTAAATTTTTGACGCCATACTGCGTCATTACTGAGCGAAAGTGTTAACACTTTCGCGCTCTCGGCGCTCAAAAAAAAAATACCCCAGATGCTTTTGGCACTTCGCGCGCCTACGCGGTAAGACCGAAAAAGTGTACACTCTTTTGACTGTCCTGACAATAATTGAAGGCGCACGTATTTAAATTTGGTATCACTGTGTTCGCAATGAAATTGTCTATAAGAGCATACCTATAAAATGCCGCCCAAGCATAAGGAGTATCAACACCAAATAAAAAACTATGCAGATCACTCGCCGAGAGCGCCAAACAGCAACAAAATGTTTCCACTTTCTTAATGGTTGCGAAGCCTACAGTTGTCCTACATCGCTAATTTTGGTATCATTGGAATCGCAATAAAATTCTCTACACGGACATATGCATAAGAATGTTTAATATAGGTAATTGCCTACCCGCAAGAGTGTGTGAAGTGGAGAGTAGTTAGCCACGAGCGCACTGGCGAAAACACAGGGGGGAAATCATGCTTGGAAAGTTTATACGTTTCCTGACCCTACTTTTCTATGTACGTATTTCTTTTTTATACCAATGTGTTCGCAATAAAATTTTCTATAAGATGAACTGTATAACATTGGTACAAAGCATGTGTAAGAGAAGCGCCAAATATAGAACCACGTCGCTCAGTATGCGTTCGCGGCAGAAACGAACGCATTGTTTTCATTCGTTTGATGTTTGTCATGTTTATACTTGTTGAAACATTTTATAATTTGTATGACAGTGATCGCAGTAAAATTCCCTACACAGACATATACATAACACATACAAATATTTCCCACGTGTTGGATATATCAACGGCTAAAGGGAACCCACTGCCACACGCTCGCCACACCCCCAAACATACTTTGTGTATTTTGTTTTTTACTCATAGAAGTTTATGTGATATAATATTCATTCTGGTACCAAAAAATTCGCAAATAAATTCTCTACAAAACAAAAGTATCCTCATCCATTTCGGTTAAAAAATGGAATTTATAGAAATATTTTTTCGATTGACGAGAAAAGTAGGCAGTTATGCGGAATCGTAAGAAAAACCAGTGACGAGTTATCTCTAATATAAAGCGCGAAAGTGTTAAGTACTGAACTCAAAATACAAAAAACACATTAGAAACAAGTATTCATTTCATTGTTAACAGCTACTTAAGTATATATTATACAGTATCACAATTTCTTTCTTCACCTCCATATTCTGACATGCTTGTTCTTCTGCTTCCGTGTTCTTTTCATTAAATCTTCTCTGCCAGTGTTCCACCTGCCGAGTAAAATTACAGAGTTGTTTATGTTTGTCAGCTGACTTGTCCCTTACAGCCTTGCACTTTAACTTTTTTCCTGCCCCTAATCTTCCTCTACAGCCTTGCACTAACCATTTCCTGCCCCTAATCTTCCTCTACAGCCTTGCACGTCTCCTCCCCCTACTAGTCATCTACTATATAATATCTTGCAAGTTACACATTATTTATCTCAATATTGTGCATGCTGTCTACATACACATAACCTTTGAAATTGCATGTTTGGAAGCCCATGATTACCCAAAATTTCAAACCCGTCCTCTAAACAGATCGTCCCTAGTTACTAGAGCAGGAAGCACGAAAGATAGACTTGCACAAAAACAGTCATGGTTAACTTGCTGATTACTTGTGTAAACTTGACCACAGCATAACTCCTACAAAGCTTTATGACCTTCACCCAGCTTGGTGCATACTTCACCTCCCACTTCAACAGCCTACCTTAATTACCCTACTTATTATTAATAATAATAAAACCAATATATAAGTTTTAGAGCTAGCAAAAAATAAACTCTGACCTTTTCCTTTAACTGCTTTTCTTCATCTTCTATATTAGTAATATGGATCCTGCATGCATTTAATTCTTTATCTTTCTTTCTACTACTCTTCTCATTAAGGGTGAATTTGGCTCGAAGTGCGTCATAATCGGTGCGGATTTCCAACTGTACTTTCCGCAGCTGTTCAATCTGACAGGGAGACAAGATACAATGGTTAATGGTCACTACAACATCAAACGCTCTGACAGGGAGGCAAGATACAATGGTTAATGGTCACTACAACATCAAACGCTCTGACAGGGAGGCAAGATACAATGGTTAATGGTCACTACAACATCAAACGCTCAAACGACAACTTAAAGTTACATTTCTCAATGAAAACTTAGGAAAGTGATCATAAAAATCCTGCCCGAAACACTTTGCGTCATAGTGGCTTTAGGCATTGTATGTACTAGCTCTATCTATAAATCCATCAATGTTTGTATCACACCTTGTATGTATGTACTTTACCTAAATAAATATTTGATTTTTTTTTTAATTTGATAAGTCTTATGAATATGAGAATCAAATGAATCAAAATGTTATGTTCGTGCATAACAACTATGTTGTTATCCAGGAAGCATGCGTTAGAGAACAGGTCAGGATAGAGCAACATGACTTATCCAGAATAATACAAATTTTCAGGCCTTCTGAATTATCATGATTGAGCGATGTCTTCACTATCATCTATTTGAAAGAGGTTGTCTTGAGGTTATCTTGAGGTTATCTTGAGATGATTTCGGGGCTTTAGTGTCCCCGCGGCCCGGTCCTCGGCCAGTCCTCCACCCCCAGGAAGCAGCCCGTGACAGCTGACTAACACCCAGGTACCTATTTTACTGCTAGGTAACAGGGGCATAGGGTGAAAGAAACTCTGCCCATTGTTTCTCGCCGGCGCCTGGAATCGAACCCAGGACCACAGGATCACAAGTCCAGTGTACTGTCCACTCGGCCGACCGGCTCCTTGTCTGTATTCTATCTTTGCATATTTTGTTACGCAAATCATAAAGATGACAACTATTTAGCCTAATTCATAGTAGATTTTATTACATAAATATATATTGAAATTAATACAGGGTAATACAATACTTTATTTCATAAGATTATAACACTAATTATAATTTCCATTTAGCAATTCCAATTTCTTAAGGTTTTCAATATTTTGTAATGCAGAATGATTCAACATTGTGTCCAGGAATGCATTTGTATGTAAAACTGCAGAGCTAATAAATAAATAAATAAATAATATAAATACAAATTAGAGGCAAGACTGCCTGGAACTTACCTTTGCTTCCTTTGCAGCAAGAGATTTGTGTGTGTCTGCTGCTGATGACAGCTTGTCTTTCACACTTGCCAGTTCCACTTCCAGGGAAGCCTTCTCCACCATTAGGTTGGTTGTCTAGTACAAGAGTAAACGAGAAAATTACTCAACCTGCTAAGATACCTTATTGAAATACTCAACACTTGTACTCATCACTCATTATCACAAATCTAGTTTTCCTCACGCTGCAAAGCAACAATTTGCAGGAATACTGGCAAACAATGCTGGGAAACAATGTTGGCTAATGGTTCTCAGCAGGAAATTTAAATAAGTATTAATAAGATAATGAATAGTTAACTGGTTAACCAAATACATTTGGTAAACATGAGCAGATATTGGACGTTTAAAGAAGAGCGGGCAACAAGCACCCATGCTAACATGTTGCCATCTAGGGGCGGGTAGTAGTCTCAGCCACAACACAGGCAGCTGCTCAACACAACACCACGGTGTGCAGTGCTGATTAATATCAAGAAACTGAAGTCTGTGTGTGTCTAGCAGTATAAAGTTAGTAAAGTGGACCAAGATAGTTACTGGTCACACCCATGCCAATACAATACTACAGTGCAGGAGCCCCCGACTGCTGTACTACGGCTCAACTCTTAGGATAGGGAACATCTAACAGTTATACATCAGGAAACCCTAAACCTGAATTAGAAAGAAAGGCAGTACAGTAATGACAACGCACTTTCGCACATTACGAGTATGCATACATGCATCGGGTTGGCTGAAGTGAACCACTTGATGGATAACCTGAGAGGCCTGGTCTTGGAACAAAGCACCAAGAAAAGTGTTTAAGAAGGCCACAGCCTGGTAAGTGAATAGCACAGTGCAACAATGTGGCAACAGTACAAAGAGCCTGATATACCCCTGGTTGGACAAACAATACGTCCACTGCTACAGAAGACCAATGAAAATTAGAAAACTTGTTCTTAGCTAAAAAAAAGGAAGTGAAGAAAGCAATAACCAAGACGAAAGGAACAAAACCCATTCTTGTGACGAAGAGCATGAAGGCTGCAAACACAACTACCAGAAGCCACAGCCAAGAAGAAGGTCGCATTGAAAAGAATGTCCTCGGCCGAGATGGGGGGGGGGGGGTGACAAGAAATCAAGGAAGAGATAAACAGCAGAACTCTAAGGACATAATTGGTGGTCAAAGGTAAAGCTCAGGCAGCCAATTGTGCCTTTAAAGTCCAGACAGGAAAGGCGAAGGCCCCTTAACAGTAGTCAAAAAACCAGCGTTGAATGTAATGAAACGCCATTTTCTGGGTGAGACCCGGAGGCTCCCCGGAGCTTTACCGGCTGATATGCTAATGTCAGACTTTGGCATCAGTCATGTGTATGGAGTTCTAGGGCCTACCGGGGACCACGAGCCAGAACCTGGCCCCCTCAGAGAGGCAAGGGGAGCAATGGCCTATAGAAACCCCCGTGTGGTTGGAAGCATTCTATGTCTGCCATCGACCGGGTCAAGCATCCAGAAAGGTAAGCATTCCAAAACAAACCCCTATTCTGGTGAAAATTGCTACCTAAGCCGAACTGGTGAATAGAACTCTTCAACAGAAAACACGGAAACTAGTATGACGTCATACGTCACCGCGCCGCTGTCTGCGCAGCTCCCCCCTCCCCGGGAGGGGGAAGGGGGAGCCCCAGACCTCCCACGCCGGCTATCCACCCATCAGTTCTGAGGCTGGATGTCAAAACACGCGAAAAACGCCGACCGGAGGGAGGGAGGGTTGCCGGGGAGCCTCCGGGTCTCACCCAGAAAATGGCGTTTCATTACATTCAACGCTGGTTTTCTGGGGGGAGCCCCGTCGGCTCCCCGGAGCTAACTACCCACAGAGGAAGGTCAAAGGGACAAAACCGGGAGGCGGACACCACGCACCCCCCAAGGAGGCGAGACAACCGGCAGCAAACGCCAACCCAAGGCGCCACAGCCCCGAAAATCCCGGGAACAACACGAGAACCACGAGCAGCAAGGCCCCTGCACGAACACCAAAAATCCATGCCCGAAAGACTGCAAGGCCACGTCGCCCAGACGGCAGCGAGAGCAGCGAAGCCACGAACGCCACAGGCATGAGGGAAGAACACAGGCAGCTTAGCCGCAAGAACACGGCTGACCACCCGGGACACCATCACCCGCGAACCGGGAAGAACAGAACCGGAGCAACGCAAAACGCGCTCCGGACCCAAACGCCGTGGCACGCAAACAACAGCGGAGGGCCGCCACTGAACACAAAAACGACACACCCCCGGCCCGACCAACAAAACACCAACAAACCCTGGACCCCTCCAGAATGCAGCAGCCCCACCCCGCGCCAGAAAAGATGGAGACTGCTGCCATCAAACAACCAAAACGCTAAAACCGAAGGAGCAAGAAAACACAGCGAACCGACCCCCAGAGGCAAAGGCCCAAAGGAAAGAGCCGACGAAAAAACACACCGGAACCGAAGGGGCACTACCAACCGAGGAGAAGACAGAGCACGCTGACCAGAGACCAGGATGGTGCAAGCGGCGCACGAACAGGCCGGAGGTGAAATGACGCACAAGACAGCTGACTAACGGTGCAGAAGCAACACCAAGACCGAAAGCAAGCTGAAGCGGCTCCGCCTGCGCCGCACGAAAAGAGGCGACAGTATGTGGCAAGACAACGGCCCCCAACCCCCACTAGAAAACCAAGCCGAGAGTAAACCAAGCCAACAAGAAGGACCCACCGAAGAAGGGACAGGAAAAGGAAGGACCGCCAAAATACCCCATACTGCCGCCAAGAAAGCACGCAGGTGGGACACCTACCACGAAGCCACCCGACCACCAACCGGAGGCGAGACCACGAGGCAGAACATAAGCAGCCCCGACAAGGCCCCCCCGAGCCCAGGAAAAAGGCGGAGCCGCGAGAAGATCTCGGGCGCGACCACCGAAACCCAGGCGGCACAAGGAGATGGAACGTCTGCCGAACAGAAAAACTCCGAAGCATGCAAGCCCGCCAGGAGTTCAGACACGACGGGTCCGACGCGAGACATCGCAAGAACCCCCCCCCCCCCAAAAAAAAATAAAACAACAACAACCGGCAGGGCAAGCTAGGAAAACCAAAGAAGGCGGAAGGGTCGCCGCCAGAACAGGACCCGAACCAAGGGGCACGAACAACTGCAACAGACCGAGACAAAGAAGCACATCACAGGACACAGGCTGACCAACGCCTAAGAACACACGCAGAACATTCCTGCTGCAGAAGAGGCAGGAAGAAAGAGCAGAAGCACAAAAAAAAAAAAAAAAAAAAAAAAAAAAACCAGGAGAACAACCAGGGGTGGACAATCAGGCAGGGACAAAAACCCCACGCAATCCCCAGGCACAAAACGGCAGCAAAGCGCCACTCCACAACCGGACACAGGAACAAGGACACGCCACCGTGAAACACGGTACCAATGCTCACGTGCAGCAGCAGCAGCAACAGGCACCACTGCAACATGCAACATGTAAATAGCAACTCCCCTCAGCAAAGGCAGAGAACGGAGCAGGCAGACCCCAGACAGGGCCAACGGAGACACGACAAAACCCTGCAGGCCCAGAAACCTGCACCAGGCGACCGACGGCGGAGAAACCCCGCTCGATACCTGCTGGATGAGGTACTGGGAGCTCTTTTACACCTCAAGCCCGGCCCAAGGTCAGGCCAGACCGGCCAGAGGATGGCCCACCAGGCAGCTGCTAGGAGCAGTCCACCGGCCCACATACCCCCACAACCAGGACGGGCCGGAACTGCCATACGAAAACAGGCCAGTGCGCCCTGGAAGTCCACGGACGAACCAGCAAGAAGGCTTATGCTCGCAAGTAGGTCGTGTAACAAGCACAGACCACTGATGGTAATACAGTGTTCCCCAAAAGTGCCAATAGCACCACTGCACTCCACTGGTACTATCCCGCAAGTTCCACCAGATAGGCGGGACCCAAGAGCCAGAGCTCAAATCCTGCAAGTACAGCCAGGAGCCTCACCAGGTGAGTACAGAACCAGCCCTACAACCCCCACACCTCACAACATTAAAAAAGGAGGGTCCCCTGAACGACTCCAGCATGGGTTGGACATGCACATGAGGGGGACAGGAAGGGGTGATAAAGGGACAGTCACTGGTTTGCGAACGGTCTCAGTCGTACAAAATTATACCTAAATAAAGACAGGTATATGAACACCGCCGCATCCAGCGCCCGGCCAAAAGACGCCAGACCGCAGAAACTCACCTGGCGAATGGTGGCTCGAACTTGACACGACTCAACCGTGCCCAGAAGAACTTGGGAGCACCGCCAGGTGAAGACGCCAGAGCCGGACCCGCAGGAGAACAGGGAGAGGCGAAGGAGGCGGTCCACACCCATGACAGAAAACCGCGGTGTCCTCCCCACAACTGGGAACCAGGACACCCCTGGCGCAAAGGGGCACATACCGCAGCCAGGGAGAAGAACGAGAGGCGAAGCACTGTAGCAAAAAAGGGCGCAAAACCCCAGCACTGAACCATCGCCCAGACCAAAACAAACTCCACGGCGCATGCGCATAACACGCTGGCCGAACCGCACACCCTCCCTGCGGGAAGGCGCCAGCCAGGACTATTGCACGAGAAAAAGAGCCAAAAGAGGAAGCAGGAACAAGAAAACCGGCCAAAGAAGCAAAGAGCCCAAAAAAAGGGAACCCAAACGGGCGTATGCAGCCCGAGTACTGAAGAATCACACCCGGCTCACGCACCACCTAGAAAACAGACACCACACTCTAGGTACAGTGCTGAAACAACCACTGGAGCCGGAGCACATAACCATTGCCTATAGCATCAGCCGAAGAACTGATGGGTGGATAGCCGGCGTGGGAGGTCTGGGGCTCCCCCTTCCCCCTCCCGGGGAGGGGGGAGCTGCGCAGACAGCGGCGCGGTGACGTATGACGTCATACTAGTTTCCGTGTTTTCTGTTGAAGAGTTCTATTCACTAGTTCGGCTTAGGTAGCAATTTTCACCAGAATAGGGGTTTGTTTTGGAATGCTTACCTTTCTGGATGCTTGACCCGGTCGATGGCAGACATAGAATGCTTCCAACCACACGGGGGTTTCTATAGGCCATTGCTCCCCTTGCCTCTCTGAGGGGGCCAGGTTCTGGCTCGTGGTCCCCGGTAGGCCCTAGAACTCCACACACATGACTGATGCCAAAGTCTGACATTAGCATATCAGCCGGTAAAGCTCCGGGGAGCCGACGGGGCTCCCCCCAGAAATGGTCCCGCAAACACATCAGAGCTGGCTGTAGAAGAGAATAGGAGGCCATCCTATAGTCCCAAACCAATCTTAATTACATCAATGATTAGTAAGGAGACCCCGAGACTTTCGACAGTTGACATGGAATCGGAGTTAGCAGACAATCTGTTGAGGTAAGCAAGAACCTGAATGCCAAGAACTTGGAGATGGTGAAGCACAACACAAGTAAGTCTGGTGAAGGTCCTGAGAGCCACTGTAGCCCAAATAAAAGATCCAGAAAGTGGTAGCAGACATGGTCCATTCTGTACCCCAGCCAATCTGAGAACTATAGATAAATCAGAACGTACCAATATGTGTCCGCAGATATAGGTAAATGAGCAGGGTGGCTTGAAACCATCTGGTGAACCTGGGAAATGGTGATCATCCAGAAAACTGGACAAGTAATGTGAACATTAGAGGTCCACGGCTATTCAAAACACTTCCAGAAAGCGTAAGAAATATTGCCATTACAAAAGTAGAAATGTTCAAGAAAGAATTAGACACTTTCCAACAGTAGTACTGGACCAACTAGGTTTTAGTGGACATGCAGGCCTCTGCAAGAAACAGCCTGTTGGCCCAAGTCATCAGAAATCAAGCCCAATTTGGGAAGCAGAACAACTCTCAGAACCCACTCCAAGTATACTCCGGGTTTTGAGAAAGGAAAGATCAGGACTAAACTGAGAATCTGGAAAATTCCTTCTTTGGAACCATAAACAGCTGGGACATTGCCCCAAATTTACCAATAACACTTCGGCAAGGTGTAGACGGCTGGGAAGGAATCCTGAGCAAGGAAGAAAAGATCAAGCCAAATGAAAGGCTTCATACAAGCAGCATGGTAAGTGTTTCCCTTGCAGCAACTGTCATTGCTTAGCACAGCCAAATGGTTAAGTAAACTACAGTAGTTTATACATTTAATCATAAAGGCAGTCAGTTGATGCACCACCTTTAAGAGATAATGGTAATTATATAAATCAGCATAGAGTGCATGGTACTATATTTTTCAATAAACTAGGACTAATTGTAATGATCAATATAAATTGTAGTACATTTCTATAAGTTTGTTTAAAACAAAATTCTTACCTCATTCAATTTGTTGGCAAGGTTTGTGTGGGTAACTTTCAGCTCCCCTCGTGTGACCTGAAGCTCTTCCTTCACCTTTTTGAGCTCTTGGATCATTTGCGTAGTTTCTTCTGCCTTCGTATTCAAATTTGTTCTCAGTGTGTCTACCACCGTTTCGTGTGACTGCTGCTGCTGCTTAAAATCTTCTAAGGTATTTTGCAAGTTTTTAATCTCAATCTTATGAGTCTCTAAAGTTGTTCTCTGAGACTCATTCTCATCTTCAACTAATTTGCAGTGTGTTCGTATCTCTTTTAAATCCTTGTTAAGTTCATCTTTTTCTGAAAGCAAGTCCTTTGAGTTAGACTTCAAATGTTCAATTTCTGAGGTCATGTCCTCTTTATTGGCAAGAAGCTGCGTAACTTGAGATGACAGATTCTCTTTATGTGAGGAAATATTTGTAATTTGACCATGTAGTGTGGATATCTCTGTTTCAAGTTTCTCCCTTTCTTGCTGCTGCTGTTCCTTAATTTTAATTAACTGATCTTTTTCTGACATAAGACTTTCCTTTGAAGAAGTTAGATTTGCAATTGTTTTATTTAGTTCATCAATAACTATTTCATTCTGTTCAACTTTGATTTTAAATTCCTGCATATTTAACAAGATCTGATCTTTTTCTTCACCCAAGCTTACAATATCAGCTTGAAGCTTTTCTTGTTCAGAGATCATCAATTCTTTCTGTAATGTCATATCCTCAACAGTTTTGAGAAGCTCCTCTTTTCCTGTTGATAGTAACTCTCTCTCTGAGAGCATGATTTCTTTTTCTTTCAAAATACTTTCATTCTCCGACTGTAGCCGAGTATTTTCTGAAAGCACTTTCTGTTTATCATTAAAGATTATCTCCTTTTCTGCTAACAATTCCTGTTTTTCTACCTGTAAAGCCTCTTTCTCGGACAATAATTCATTCTTTTCTTTCATGATCACATCTTTCTCAGATTCTCTTTCCTCTTTTTCCGATAGTAAATTCATCTTATCATTCAACACCATATTTACTTTGGAGTTCAACTCGGCATTTTGTTTTACCAATGTTTCGTTCTCGGAGACAATCTCATTCCTTACTCTCTCCATTTCCTTCATCTTCGACTCCAACGTCTCCCTTCTAGCCTCTAATTCAATTTTGTCTTTGGCAATCAAGTCACTCTCAAGCTTCAGCTGATCTTGTTGCTTCTCGAGTGACTCCTTTACCAAAAGCAGTTCATCTTTTTCCTTCTCCACATGCTCAAGCTTGGATTGCAATTTTTCTTTCTCAGAAAGTAATTCTTCCTTGTAGCTCATGATGTCTTTCTTTTCCAATTGCAGCTTCTCTTTTTCTGAGGATAATTTCATGTTTTCCTTTAACATGTGATCTCTTTCAGCAACAATGGTGGTGTACTTTAGAGTTAGTTCCTGAGAAGCGGCTAAAACTTCTTTCTTCTCAGTAGATATAATATCAGAATCAGAAATTAATTTTTCCTTTTCAGCTTTCAATACTTCAATTTGATTTGTAAGCTCAATACATTTGTTCTGACTTTGATTAACCTTATCCTCTAGCTCCTTAACCTTATCCATAAGCTCCTTTTTCTCATTTTGCAGTGCATTCTGAGAGTGCGTGTTTATCAAAACAGAATCATCAAGATCATTCAATTTTTTCTCTAAAACATTTTTCTCATCCCTCAGACTATTCACACTCTCCTTCAACTTTACAAGCTCCTCTATATTCAAAGCGTTCTTCTCAAGTGCAGCCTGCAAACTTTGATTCTGTGCTAGAAGTTGCTCATTCTGCAGAACCACATCCGTGTTCGTGGCAACGAGTTCTCGATTTCCCGACATCACTTCCTCCAGTCTCTGCGATATGGCCTGGATCTGGGCGTCCAGCTCGCTCTTCACAGCCGTAAGGTTCTCATTTTCAGTCATGAGCTCTTCTTCCTTTTTATATAGAGTTTCCGTGTTGGATTTAAGTACATTGTTCTGGCACATAAGTTCGCTTACTTCGTTCTTCATTTCGTCAATCATCACTGTGAGCTCCTCATTCTTGGTAATAAGCAGGTCATTCTTGGAGGCTAATTCATCATTTTTGGAACTGAGTTCTTCATTCAAGAAGGCCAACTCGTCAGATTTATTGTTGTGTTCCTCAAACTCCACATTATAATTTTCATGTTTCTCTAACATCTTGTCAAGTTCTTCCTGCAATCTGTTGTACTTTTCTTGAAGATCATTCCTCTCCTCTTGTAATCTGAAAAATATGGATTAATAATTGTACATTATGTAACCTGGTACCACGAATATTAAAATCTTGTCAACAAAATACCTTTGGACGAGTTTTACCAGCATGAAGGTAATTGAGAAAGGAATTCTCCGTCTAGAACTGAATATCTCAAGTTACAGAGTATAATGAGTACAAGGGGTGCCAAGGATTATGGTGCTGCAATAGAGTATCATGAATTCAGGGAGCATAATGAGCCATGTTCAGTGTAATAATAATAATAAAGTATATATGCACTGTAATGAAATGTAATGAAATGAAAAACCAAACCACACACTAGAAAGTGAAGGGACGACGACGTTTCGGTCCATCCAGGACCATTCTCAAGCATATTTCAGCCACGTTATTGTGACTCCTCGTCTGCTAATGAAATGCCATACACCTGAGCTACATCAGCCCTATGAGTCCTTATACCTTGAAGAGCAGTTATCATCATATGATGATTTAAATTATTACTGTCTGGGTTTTACATGTATGATACAAATAAAGACATAATAGCTCTATGTGGATGTAATTTACCTTGTTACCGAGTTTACCTTCACCCATGAAACATAACCATCGTTTAATGCTTATGTTACCATGTGAATGGGATTATCATCATAAATGTTACAAGATGAATACTGTCATCATCACTATGCAAAATTGTCATAATTACATGATAAGCATACCAAAAATGTTCATATGGTTTTCCCAACTCCAGATGGTTGTAATGAAGTATACCAGGCAAACCAATCGTGAATTGAGTCATTATCACGAGTGTTATGTACCAGGATCCTGCCGTCAACTGTGACTGGTGCAGTAGTCTCTCGCCTTGGTTTGTGCACCAGGATCCTGCCGTCATCTGTGACTGGTGCAGTAGTCTCTCGCCTTGGTTTGTGCACCAGGATCCTGCCGTCATCTGTGACTGGTGCAGTAGTCTCTTGCCTTGGTTTGTGCACCAGGATCCTGCCGTCATCTGTGACTGGTGCAGTAGTCTCTCGCCTTGGTTTGTGCACCAGGATCCTGCCGTCATCTGTGACTGGTGCAGTAGTCTCTCGCCTTGGTTTGTGTACCAGGATCCTGCCGTCATCTGTGACTGGTGCAGTAGTCTCTCGCCTTGGTTTGTGTACCAGGATCCTGCCGTCATCTGTGACTGGTGCAGTAGTCTCACGCCTTGGTTTGTGCACCAGGATCCTGCCGTCATCTGTGACTGGTGCAGTAGTCTCACGCCTTGGTTTGTGTACCAGGATCCTGCCGTCATCTGTGACTGGTGCAGTAGTCTCTCGCCTTGGTTTGTGTACCAGGATCCTGCTGTCATCTGTGACTGGTGCAGTAGTCTCTCGCCTTGGTTCGTGCACCAGGATCCTGCCGTCATCTGTGACTGGTGCAGTAGTCTCACGCCTTGGTTTGTGTACCAGGATCCTGCCGTCATCTGTGACTGGTGCAGTAGTCTCTCGCCTTGGTTTGTGTACCAGGATCCTGCTGTCATCTGTGACTGGTGCAGTAGTCTCACGCCTTGGTTTGTGTACCAGGATCCTGCCATCATCTGTGACTGGTGCAGTAGTCTCTCGCCTTGGTTTGTGTACCAGGATCCTGCTGTCATCTGTGACTGGTGCAGTAGTCTCACGCCTTGGTTTGTGTACCAGGATCCTGCCGTCATCTGTGACTGGTGCAGTAGTCTCACGCCTTGGTTTGTGCACCAGGATCCTGCTGTCATCTGTGACTGGTGCAGTAGTCTCACGCCTTGGTTTGTGCACCAGGATCCTGCCGTCATCTGTGACTGGTGCAGTAGTCTCACGCCTTGGTTTGTGTACCAGGATCCTGCTGTCATCTGTGACTGGTGCAGTAGTCTCACGCCTTGGTTTGTGCACCAGGATCCTGCCGCCATCTGTGACTGGTGCAGTAGTCTCACGCCTTGGTTTGTGCACCAGGATCCTGCTGTCATCTGTGACTGGTGCAGTAGTCTCACGCCTTGGTTTGTGCACCAGGATCCTGCCGTCATCTGTGACTGGTGCAGTAGTCTCACGCCTTGGTTTGTGTACCAGGATCCTGCTGTCATCTGTGACTGGTGCAGTAGTCTCACGCCTTGGTTTGTGCACCAGGATCCTGCCGTCATCTGTGACTGGTGCAGTAGTCTCTTGCCTTGGTTTGTGCACCAGGATCCTGCCGTCATCTGTGACTGGTGCAGTAGTCTCACGCCTTGGTTTGTGCACCAGGATCCTGCCGTCATCTGTGACTGGTGCAGTAGTCTCACGCCTTGGTTTGTGTACCAGGATCCTGCTGTCATCTGTGACTGGTGCAGTAGTCTCACGCCTTGGTTTGTGCACCAGGATCCTGCCGTCATCTGTGACTGGTGCAGTAGTCTCACGCCTTGGTTTGTGTACCAGGATCCTGCTGTCATCTGTGACTGGTGCAGTAGTCTCACGCCTTGGTTTGTGCACCAGGATCCTGCCGTCATCTGTGACTGGTGCAGTAGTCTCTCGCCTTGGTTTGTGCACCAGGATCCTGCCGTCATCTGTGACTGGTGCAGTAGTCTCTTGCCTTGGTTTGTGCACCAGGATCCTGCCGTCATCTGTGACTGGTGCAGTAGTCTCACGCCTTGGTTTGTGCACCAGGATCCTGCCGTCATCTGTGACTGGTGCAGTAGTCTCACGCCTTGGTTTCAATGTACCAAGGCTTCAGGTGACTAGGCCTTTACTAGACGTACATTGTTGCCCCATATGATGCCACTTAGGCTCATATCATCACCCAGCCCAACACCCATCAATATGTTGTTTATATTGTTTTCACTACACCGCTCACCCATTGTCTACACACTTACCCTAGACCTTCAGCCATAGTGTACACCCCTCACCCTAGACCTTCAGCCATAGTGTACACCCCTCACCCTAGACCTTCAGCCATAGTGTACACCCCTCACCCTAGACCTTCAGCCATAGTGTACACCCCTCACCCTAGACCTTCAGCCATAGTGTACACCCCTCACCCTAGACCTTCAGCCATAGTGTACACCCCTCACCCTAGACCTTCAGCCATAGTGTACACCCCTCACCCTAGACCTTCAGCCATAGTGTACACCCCTCACCCTAGACCTTCAGCCATAGTGTACACCCCCCACCCTAGACCTTCAGCCATAGTGTACACCCCTCACCCTAGACCTTCAGCCATAGTGTACACCCCTCACCCTAGACCTTCAGCCATAGTGTACACCCCTCACCCTAGACCTTCAGCCATAGTGTACACCCCTCACACTAGACCTTCAGCCATAGTGTACACCCCTCACCCTAGACCTTCAGCCATAGTGTACACCCCTCACCCTAGACCTTCAGCCATAGTGTACACCCCTCACCCTAGACCTTCAGCCATAGTGTACACCCCTCACCCTAGACCTTCAGCCATAGTGTGCACCCCTCACCCTAGACCTTCAGCCATAGTGTACACCCCTCACCCTAGACCTTCAGCCATAGTGTACACCCTTCACCCTAGACCTTCCCCTATAGTGTACACCCCTCACCCTAGACCTTCCCCTATAGTGTACACCCCTCACCCTAGACCTTCAGCCATAGTGTACACCCCTCACCCTAGACCTTCAGCCATAGTGTACACCCCTCACCCTAGACCTTCAGCCATAGTGTACACCCCTCACCCTAGACCTTCAACCATAGTGTACACCCCTCACCCTAGACCCTCACCCATAGTGTACACCCCTCACCCTAGACCTTCCCCTATAGTGAACACCCCTCACCCTAGACCTTCAGCCATAGTGTACACCCCTCACCCTAGACCCTCACCCATAGTGTACACCCCTCACCCTAGACCTTCCCCTATAGTGTACACCCCTCACCCTAGACCTTCCCCTATAGTGTACACCCCTCACCCTATACCTTCCCCTATAGTGTACACCCCTCACCCTAGACCTTCCCCTATAGTGTACACCCCTCACCCTAGACCTTCAGCCATAGTGTACACCCCTCACCCTAGACCTTCAGCCATAGTGTACACCCCTCACCCTAGACCTTCAGCCATAGTGTACACCCCTCACCCTAGACCTTCCCCTATAGTGTACACCCCTCACCCTAGACCTTCAGCCATAGTGTACACCCCTCACCCTAGACCTTCAGCCATAGTGTACACCCCTCACCCTAGACCTTCAGCCATAGTGTACACCCCTCACCCTAGACCTTCCCCTATAGTGTACACCCCTCACCCTAGACCTTCAACCATAGTGTACACCCCTCACCCTAGACCTTCAGCCATAGTGTACACCCCTCACCCTAGACCTTCAGCCATAGTGTACACCCCTCACCCTAGACTTTCAGCCATAGTGTACACCCTTCACCCTAGACCTTCAGCCATAGTGTACACCCCTCACCCTAGACCTTCAGCCATAGTGTACACCCCTCACCCTAGACTTTCAGCCATAGTGTACACCCCCCACCCTAGACCTTCAGCCATAGTGTACACCCCTCACCCTAGACCTTCAGCCATAGTGTACACCCCTCACCCTAGACCTTCAGCCATAGTGTACACCCCTCACCCTAGACCTTCCCTTATAGTGTACACCCCTCACCCTAGACCTTTAACCATAGTGTACACCCCTCACCCTAGACCTTCAGCCATAGTGTACACCCCTCACCCTAGACCTTCAGCCATAGTGTACACCCCTCACACTAGACCTTCAGCCATAGTGTACACCCCTCACCCTAGACCTTCAGCCATAGTGTACACCCCTCACCCTAGACCTTCAGCCATAGTGTACACCCCTCACCCTAGACCTTCAGCCATAGTGTACACCCCTCACCCTAGACCTTCAGCCATAGTGTACACCCCTCACCCTAGACCTTCAGCCATAGTGTACACCCCTCACCCTAGACCTTCAGCCATAGTGTACACCCTTCACCCTAGACCTTCAGCCATAGTGTGCACCCCTCACCCTAGACCTTCAGCCATAGTGTACACCTTTCACCCTAGACCTTCAACCATAGTGTACACCCCTCACCCCTAGACCTTCAGCCATAGTGTACACCCCTCACCCTAGACCTTCCCCTATAGTGTACACCCCTCACCCTAGACCTTCAGCCATAGTGTACACCCCTCACCCTAGACCTTCAGCCATAGTGTACACCCCTCACCCTAGACCTTCAGCCATAGTGTACACCCCTCACCCTAGACCTTCAGCCATAGTGTACACCCCTCACCCTAGACCTTCAGCCATAGTGTACACCCCTCTCCCTAGACTTTCAACCATAGTGTATACCCCTCACCCTAGACCTTCAACCATAGTGTACACCCCTCACCCTAGACCTTCAGCCATAGTGTACACCCCTCACCCTAGAATTAAATGCAATCTTTTTACCTTTCCAATTCCCATAATTACCATTCCCCTTATGGTGTAAATGTTGTCTGATCACTACCTATCCTTACCCATCTTTATTACTTTACACCTAATAGAGTTGAATTTTAACAGCCATTTACATGCCTTCTTGCAGTTTATAATAAGGTCACTGTGCAAAAAATCTACAACCCTTCTCAGTTTTATTTTTTTTTATATAAATTTGGCATCACGTGCAGACGCTGACATGTACGACCTCACTCCCCTCGCTCAGGATGGTCATTCACAATTTAAGAACGGTAACAGACATAGGACTCGAGCCTAGGTTACTACTCTGATGTCACATCTCTCTCTCCAGCCTGACACCTCTCTCAATGTGACCCCTTTTATTTCTGTAAGTCAGTTATCCAGATCAGTATCTTTCCAGTTATTCCCCCTTGTATCTTCACCCTATACCTTAGTCTTTTGGCAGCAACAGCATCCATAAAAGCAAGCCTCTCCTTCATAGTCCACTGATGCTTTTAACCTTTTTTTTTCAGGTACCGCACGTCCGTTTACCTTACTGGTCTCTCGTTAACCTCTCTCTTCATCCTACAGCTTAATTACCTGTGAGAGTTCAGTCTTCATACCTTGTTAGAACAGCTGAAGATGATTCTGTCTGTGTGTCTGACCAGCCATCTTCTTGTTGAGCGTTCAAAGATGACCGCAACTTAACATTCTCCTCTTGAAGTTGCTCTCTCTTCTGTAAAGCAACCTTCAGCTCTGCTTCAAGGGAGTTCACCTGAACAAGAAAAAGACAAATAATCACCATTTGCAGCAATAATACACAAACGCTTTATTAACCATCAGCTGGTGCCATCTTGAGGTTATCTTGAGATGATTTCAGGGCTTTCTTTTTTAGTGTCCCCACGGCCCGGTCCTCGACCAGGCCTCCACCCCCAGGAAGCAGCCCGTGACAGCTGACTAACACCCAGGTACCTATTTTACTGCTAGGTAACAGGAGCATAGGGTGAAAGAAACTCTGCCCATTGTTTCTCGCCGTCACCTGGGATCGAATCCGGGACCACAGGATCACAAGTCCAGTGACCAGCATGCTGTCCGCTCGGCCGACCGGCTCCCTCAATGGCAACTAGCCATTGACACATCCCAAATGCAACATTGTCACTTGGCCTTCACTTGAAGCCCCTCATTAGCCATCATCATATTTGTGATCAGAGCACAACATGAAAGCTACATCCCCATATGCACTCCACTCTCAACCCCACATGGGCCTTGACCTACAACCTCGGAACCTATTAATATACTTTGGGAGCCCAAAATTTGAATCCATGTGAGATTACCTATAGGGCAACTAGCACCTTACCAGTACTTTCCTGGCTTACCAGTACTTTACTGGATGACAGGCAACTAACTACTACTTTACTGGATGACAGGCAACTAACCACTACTTTACTGGATGACAGGCAACTAACCACTACTTTACTGGATGACAGGCAACTAACCACTACTTTACTGGATGACAGGCAACTAACCACTACTTTACTGGATGACAGGCAACTAACTACTACTTTACTGGATAACATGCTACTAACCAGTATAAAATATTTAGGCACCACCCTAGTTAATGCAAGGTAATCTTGAGGTTATCTTGAGATGATTTCGGGGCTTAGCGTCCCTGCGGCCCGGTCATCGACCAGGCCTACTTTTTATTACACCCCCCCAGGAAGCAGCCCATAGCAGCTGTCTAACTCCCAGGTACCTATTTACTGCTAGGTAACAAGGGCATCAGGGTAAAAGAAACATTTTGCCCACTTGTCTCCGCCTCCACCGGGGATCGAACCTGGGACCTCGGGACTACGAATCCGTAGCGCTGTCCACCCAGCTGTCATTCGTTGGGTTCCCAGTCATAGGGTTTTAAACAGGGCAAATAAACAATAAATAAGGACAGGGCACCCCAAGGTTACACAAGTTACAAGTATGCAAGATCCCAACTTGCCTGGGTTGGTTTTTTATCTATATAATCAATAGTTAAAAAAGGCAATAGATAGAAAAGGCACATTTAAAGTTAAATAAAAACAGAAAATGTAAAGCACAGAGAAATCACATTAATGCAATTTATCACGTTAATGTGATACATCTTCTTTGCAAATTTAAATGTAAATGAAAACTAAGTTTTTAAACCAGCAAGAGTTTTTGAAAAAACAAATGAAAAAAAAATAAAATAAATAAAAAATCCAGCCTGGGTGGGTAAGTTAGTACCTACCATACAAATCCTGAATTGATATTGACATGGCAACTATTCCGTTGTGTAGTTACGTAATAATCCTATGTATAAAACAAGTGACAATTATGTACCTTGTCTTCAAGCTCTTGAGCCATAGCCCCGTTCAGCTTATTCTGCTCTTGGGTCTTGCGAAGGTCGTACAAGGCCTGGTTTAATTTCTCTTTAGTGTCCTCGGCTTCACTTCCAGGCTGCTGCTTCAGAGGTGGCATGCTCCCCAGCTGCTCTACACACATCTGAAACGTACGACATCAATTGCATCACAAACAGTGGCTCTCGGTGCGGTGTGATGACTTAGTTGCTTCTCGTATATTTTGGAGCTGGTTCACACTAATAATTTTGTAGTGAAGATTTTGACATTTTTGTCTTGTGTATATATTTTAGGTAGAACATAAGAATAAATAAGAACAATAAGATAAGAACAACAATAAGATAAGAACAACAACAATAACATAAGGTTATCTTGAGGTTATCTTGAGATGATTTCGGGGCTTTTTAGTGTCCCCGCGGCCCGGTCCTCGACCAGGCCTCCACCCCCAGGAAGCAGCCCGTGACAGCTGACTAACTCCCAGGTACCTATTTACTGCTAGGTAACAGGGGCATTCAGGGTGAAAGAAACTCTGCCCATTTGTTTCTGCCTCGTGCGGGAATCGAACCCGCGCCACAGAATTACGAGTCCTGCGCGCTATCCACCAGGCTACGAGGCGCCATAGTTGAACAATAAGTTAAGAACAATAGTTAATAGTTAAGAACAATAAGAATAAAAAAGCTGGAGGCCTATTGGCCCATTCACGTCAGATTAAATTTATAACTAACCCAACTCCCTCATACGTGTGTAATCTTCACTAAGAGCAAGCCAGTAATCTCGTGTCTTTCATGCTGCTCACTAATCTCTTCCACAAACCAATAACCCTATTGCCAACTCTGTATTTACCAGGGTTCTTTTATAATGTAAACTTATTAAAATGGCATAAATTATTTTGCATTGTTATATTTAATACCCCTATTAATATCCTCCTTATTCATTTCATTTGTATACTGTACTTCGTTCATCTTTCTCTCTGCCTTTCTAGAGAATGAAAATGACCTTTCTTAATCTCTTTCCATAGGAGAGGTTCCTAATTGCTAGGTTAATATTGTCATTGTTATCCGAACATGTTGAGGTTTATGACCACTGTGTAGTACGGCAACCAAAGCTCAGCCCCATAATCTAAATGGGACCCAACAAAGGAAAGACAAAGCTGAAGAACAGCAGCAGCAGCAGCAGGTGTCCTCCTTCAGCTTTGTCACCATCCCGAGCTGCTAACACTTCATGATATAAATCAAAGTATCATATTTGCCTTATTTGGTGCAGTTATACATAGACTTTTAGGACTCAAGATTCCTAATACATTAGGAAATATTTTATCTGGTCCCAGATAAAACTCGTTGCGTTTTAATTTTTTTTTATTAACAACTTTCTCCCTGACAACCACTAAGCCATTCAATTCTCCTCACCAATTACAGAGCTTTATGCAACTGCAAGTAAAGTAAAACAGAAAAAACCAGCGTTGAATGTAATGAAACGCCATTTTCTGGGTGAGACCCGGAGGCTCCCCGGAGCTTTACCGGCTGATATGCTAATGTCAGACTTTGGCATCAGTCATGTGTATGGAGTTCTAGGGCCTACCGGGGACCACGAGCCAGAACCTGGCTCCCTCAGAGAGGCAAGGGGAGCAATGGCCTATAGAAACCCCCGTGTGGTTGGAAGCATTCTATGTCTGCCATCGACCGGGTCAAGCATCCAGAAAGGTAAGCATTCCAAAACAAACCCCTATTCTGGTGAAAATTGCTACCTAAGCCGAACTAGTGAATAGAACTCTTCAACAGAAAACACGGAAACTAGTATGACGTCATACGTCACCGCGCCGCTGTCTGCGCAGCTCCCCCCTCCCCGGGAGGGGGAAGGGGGAGCCCCAGACCTCCCACGCTGGCTATCCACCCATCAGTTCTGAGGCTGGATGTCAAAACACGCGAAAAACGCCGACCGGAGGGAGGGAGGGTTGCCGGGGAGCCTCCGGGTCTCACCCAGAAAATGGCGTTTCATTACATTCAATGCTGGTTTTCTGGGGGGAGCCCCGTCGGCTCCCCGGAGCTAACTACCCACAGAGGAAGGTCAAAGGGACAAAACCGGGAGGCGGACACCACGCACCCCCCAAGGAGGCGAGACAACCGGCAGCAAACGCCAACCCAAGGCGCCACAGCCCCGAAAATCCCGGGAACAACACGAGAACCACGAGCAGCAAGGCCCCTGCACGAACACCAAAAATCCATGCCCGAAAGACTGCAAGGCCACGTCGCCCAGACGGCAGCGAGAGCAGCGAAGCCACGAACGCCACAGGCATGAGGGAAGAACACAGGCAGCTTAGCCGCAAGAACACAGCTGACCACCCGGGACACCATCACCCGCGAACCGGGAAGAACAGAACCGGAGCAACGCAAAACGCGCTCCGGACCCAAACGCCGTGGCACGCAAACAACAGCAGAGGGCCGCCACTGAACACAAAAACGACACACCCCCGGCCCGACCAACAAAGCACCAACAAACCCTGGACCCCTCCAGAATGCAGCAGCCCCACCCCGCGCCAGAAAAGATGGAGACTGCTGCCATCAAACAACCAAAACGCTAAAACCGAAGGAGCAAGAAAACACAGCGAACCGACCCCCAGAGGCAAAGGCCCAAAGGAAAGAGCCGACGAAAAAACACACCGGAACCGAAGGGGCACTACCAACCGAGGAGAAGACAGAGCACGCTGACCAGAGACCAGGATGGTGCAAGCGGCGCACGAACAGGCCGGAGGTGAAATGACGCACAAGACAGCTGACTAACGGTGCAGAAGCAACACCAAGACCGAAAGCAAGCTGAAGCGGCTCCGCCTGCGCCGCACGAAAAGAGGCGACAGTATGTGGCAAGACGACGGCCCCCAACCCCCACTAGAAAACCAAGCCGAGAGTAAACCAAGCCAACAAGAAGGACCCACCGAAGAAGGGACAGGAAAAGGAAGGACCGCCAAAATACCCCATACTGCCGCCAAGAAAGCACGCAGGTGGGACACCTACCACGAAGCCACCCGACCACCAACCGGAGGCGAGACCACGAGGCAGAACATAAGCAGCCCCGACAAGGCCCCCCCGAGCCCAGGAAAAAGGCGGAGCCGCGAGAAGATCTCGGGCGCGACCACCGAAACCCAGGCGGCACAAGGAGATGGAACGTCTGCCGAACAGAAAAACTCCGAAGCATGCAAGCCCGCCAGGAGTTCAGAAACGACGGGTCCGACGCGAGACCTCGCAAGAACCCCCCCCCCCCCAAAAAAATAAAACAACAACAACCGGCAGGGCAAGCTAGGAAAACCAAAGAAGGCGGAAGGGTCGCCGCCAGAACAGGACCCGAACCAAGGGGCACGAACAACTGCAACAGACCGAGACAAAGAAGCACATCACAGGACACAGGCTGACCAACGCCGAAGAACACACGCAGAACATTCCTGCTGCAGAGGAGGCAGGAAGAAAGAGCAGAAGCACAAAAAAAAAAAAAACCAGGAGAACAACCTTGGGGTGGACAATCAGGCAGGGACAAAAACCCCACGCAATCCCCAGGCACAAAACGGCAGCAAAGCACCACTCCACAACCGGACACAGGAACAAGGACACGCCACCGTGAAACACGGTACCAATGCTCACGTGCAGCAGCAGCAGCAGCAACAGGCACCACTGCAACATGCAACATGTAAATAGCAACTCCCCTCAGCAAAGGCAGAGAACGGAGCAGGCAGACCCCAGACAGGGCCAACGGAGACACGACAAAACCCTGCAGGCCCAGAAACCTGCACCAGGCGACCGACGGCGGAGAAACCCCGCTCGATACCTGCTGGATGAGGTACTGGGAGCTCTTTTACACCTCAAGCCCGGCCCAAGGTCAGGCCAGACCGGCCAGAGGATGGCCCACCAGGCAGCTGCTAGGAGCAGTCCACCGGCCCACATACCCCCACAACCAGGACGGGCCGGAACTGCCATACGAAAACAGGCCAGTGCGCCCTGGAAGTCCACGGACGAACCAGCAAGAAGGCTTATGCTCGCAAGTAGGTCGTGTAACAAGCACAGACCACTGATGGTAATACAGTGTTCCCCAAAAGTGCCAATAGCACCACTGCACTCCACTGGTACTATCCCGCAAGTTCCACCAGATAGGCGGGACCCAAGAGCCAGAGCTCAAATCCTGCAAGCACAGCCAGGAGCCTCACCAGGTGAGTACAGAACCAACCCTACAACCCCCACACCTCACAACATTAAAAAAGGAGGGTCCCCTGAACGACTCCAGCATGGGTTGGACATGCACATGAGGGGGACAGGAAGGGGTGATAAAGGGACAGTCACTGGTTTGCGAACGGTCTCAGTCGTACAAAATTATACCTAAATAAAGACAGGTATATGAACACCGCCGCATCCAGCGCCCGGCCAAAAGACGCCAGACCGCAGAAACTCACCTGGCAAATGGTGGCTCGAACTTGACACGACTCAACCGTGCCCAGAAGAACTTGGGAGCACCGCCAGGTGAAGACGCCAGAGCCGGACCCGCAGGAGAACAGGGAGAGGCGAAGGAGGCGGTCCACACCCATGACACAGAAAACCGCAGTGTCCTCCCCACAACTGGGAACCAGGACACCCCTGGCGCAAAGGGGCACATACCGCAGCCAGGGAGAAGAACGAGAGGCGAAGCACTGTAGCAAAAAAGGGCGCAAAACCCCAGCACTGAACCATCGCCCAGACCAAAACAAACTCCACGGCGCATGCGCATAACACGCTGGCCGAACCGCACACCCTCCCTGCGGGAAGGCGCCAGCCAGGACTATTGCACGAGAAAAAGAGCCAAAAGAGGAAGCAGGAACAAGAAAACCGGCCAAAGAAGCAAAGAGCCCAAAAAAAGGGAACCCAAACGGGCGACAAGTAGCCCAAACGGCCGACAAGTAGCCCAACCGGGCGACAAGTAGCCCAACCGGGCGACAAGTAGCCCAACAGGGCGACAAGTAGCCCAACAGGGCGACAAGTACTAGGAGCCGACAGACGTTCCAATAATGCGGGAAGTAGCGAAAAACCTTCCCGTACCCTCGAGAACACAGAAGCCAACACTAGTCCCGAAGGCACACGAAGGCGCAGGCGCACCCGAGATCAAAAGTCACGCAGAACCCCATCGAACGGGGAAACATGACAAAAACACCGTCCCAAAAAGCGGGGGAGGAAACATCCACCCACCGGACGGAACCAACCGACTCAAAGGCCAAGGAACCGAGCCCGGGGAGGGGCCGACGTCCAACAGCACGTACGGCGAGTGGGGAGGAAAGACCCCACTCCGCGTAACCACAAGCCCCGCCTAGAGGGGGATAAAACCCCCCACGGGGTCTAACGGGGCCAAGGCCCCCCCAAGTCAGCCCCTTCCCAGCCCCGGGAACCTACACGACAGGCCCCGGGGCCGATCCGTTCCCCCAAAGCCCCGGCCGTACCAGAAAACCGGGGCAGCCGTGAAAACACTAAGGAAGGGAGCCCACTGGCAGACTCATACAACACGGCTGGAGGAACAGGCCCAAATGCCCCCGTCACTACCCCGGAAGGGGAATTCCCCGAGACTGCCCGAGTCTCAACACCACCAAACACCCCGCCCTGAACCTACAGACGGTAAGGAACCGGATGCAGGCAGGAAGGGTGAACCAGGGGAAAAACGAAATACAACGGGGCAGCCCCGGGGCTCCCGGGGAGGAAACCACGAGAACGTTGCCACCACCAAGGCTCAAGTGCAACGCCCCTGCTGCCCGCACCCGCTTTGTTAGCACAACTGGGTAACCGAGCCACAACGAGCAACCAAACTCGCAGGACACTGGGTCGAAGGTGTCACCGACCCCACAGGCAGCAGACGGAGGCAAAACAGAGAGTCACCCAGAGACAAAAGGTGAGAGCAACCCTCAAACTCGCTGGAAGCGAGGGGGGGGCTCTGGGGTCACATCCATCGGACCCGCGCGCCCCCAGGGGTTTCCCAGGGTCCCGAGCGTTTACTTTAAGAGGACTCGCGCTCAGGTAATCCCAGGCAGGGTACTGCTAACCGGCACCCAAGCTACCAAACAACTTTCTAAGAGCTGAACCCCCGGGACGTGTACACACACGGGGACCTAGCAGGGGGTACCACCAGAAATACTCAGAACACAAGGGACACAAGGGGCAAGAACGAAGGCAGACCCCCCCACCAGGTATATAAACAAAAGAAAAAGAAAACCCCGCAAGAGGACAGCGTACCCAAGCGGAACAGAGCCGGCCGCTATGATTGGTAAAGACAAGCTGCACAGTACCCCGCGCCCCACCAGTGCAAACACTGCCCCTTACTCTAAGGCGAACAAGGGAGACAGAACACCCGAGCACACAAAGAGCGGCCGAAAACCAAGCGGTAAACGGCCAAGCAGGGGCAGGACCCAAGGAACTTGTGGAAGGTGGCCCCAAGCCCCAAGGGCAGTACTTACAGGGCACCTAGGGAAGGGAACCCTAGGCGCATGCAGCCCGAGTACTGAAGAATCACACCCGGCTCACACACCACCTAGAAAACAGACACCACACTCTAGGTACAGTGCTGAAACAACCACTGGAGCCGGAGCACATAACCATTGCCTATAGCATCAGCCGAAGAACTGATGGGTGGATAGCCGGCGTGGGAGGTCTGGGGCTCCCCCTTCCCCCTCCCGGGGAGGGGGGAGCTGCGCAGACAGCGGCGCGGTGACGTATGACGTCATACTAGTTTCCGTGTTTTCTGTTGAAGAGTTCTATTCACTAGTTCGGCTTAGGTAGCAATTTTCACCAGAATAGGGGTTTGTTTTGGAATGCTTACCTTTCTGGATGCTTGACCCGGTCGATGGCAGACATAGAATGCTTCCAACCACACGGGGGTTTCTATAGGCCATTGCTCCCCTTGCCTCTCTGAGGGGGCCAGGTTCTGGCTCGTGGTCCCCGGTAGGCCCTAGAACTCCATACACATGACTGATGCCAAAGTCTGACATTAGCATATCAGCCGGTAAAGCTCCGGGGAGCCGACAGGGCTCCCCCCAGAAAAGCCTATATGTACTTATAGAGTTACTCAATTACTTAACTAATTGCTCGTGTGTGCGTGTGTAAAACTCAAGTCTGTTCAGAGTTTGAGGTCCCAGTTGAAGGCATATCAAAGCACCTATATACTGTCACTGTTGAAAATACAGCATAGTTTTTGTTTTACATGACAAGTTTACTGAACAATGTTTGAGTACCAGTGAATTTCTCAAAACAACAGGGACTGAAAAAATTAAAGTAATTATTAAATACAAATGTAAATTACTAAACAAAAATGTCACCCATTTCACTGTCATTATGTTACCTAACCTGTTTTTTCTTGACATTGGTCCCCTCCTTCCCCTAATGTTTAATGTATAATACCTTAGGGATCATGTCTTGCCTACATCTTGACACTGATACCTTCCTTTCCCTAATGTTTGATGTATGACAGAACCCTTAGGGATCATGTCTTGTCCACATCTTGACACTGATACCTTCCTTTCCCTAATGTTTGATGTATGACAGAACCCTTAGGGATCATGTCTTGTCCACATCTTGACACTGATACCTTCCTTTCCCTAATGTTTGATGTATGACAGAACCCTTAGGGATCATGTCTTGTCCACATCTTGACACTGATACCTTCCTTTCCCTAATGTTTGATGTATGACAGAACCCTTAGGGATCATGTCTTGTCCACATCTTGACACTGATACCTTCCTTTCCCTAATGTTTGATGTATGACAGAACCCTTAGGGATCATGTCTTGTCCACATCTTGACACTGATACCTTCCTTTCCCTAATGTTTGATGTATGACAGAACCCTTAGGGATCATGTCTTGTCCACATCTTGACACTGATACCTTCCTTTCCCTAATGTTTGATGTATGACAGAACCCTTAGGGATCATGTCTTGTCCACATCTTGACACTGATACCTTCCTTGCCTTAATCTTTGGCATATGACAGAACCCTTAAGGATCATGTCTTGTCCACATCTTGACACTGATACCTTCCTTGCCTTAATCTTTGGCATATGACAGAACCCTTAAGGATCATGTCTTGTCCACATCTTGACACTGATACCTTCCTTGCCTTAATCTTTGGCATATGACAGAACCCTTAAGGATCATGTCTTGTCCACATCTTGACACTGATACCTTCCTTGCCTTAATCTTTGGCATATGACAGAACCCTTAAGGATCATGTCTTGTCCACATCTTGACACTGATACCTTCCTTGCCTTAATCTTTGGCATATGACAGAACCCTTAAGGATCATGTCTTGCCCGCACCAAGCAACTCGCCTCAAGTTCTTCATTAACTTGCACAACCTCAATCTGAAGTGCTGTTGTGTCTTCATTCCATAGTAAAGTGTTAACATTATTAAATATATTCTAAACACCTTCACCGTCATTTCGCTCCTGAAATTTATTTCCAGATAGAAAACAAGATAACGTACTTAACACTTTTGTCCCCCGGGGACGTTGGCAACGTCCGTCCCCAAGTTTTCCACCAGTCTGTGAACTCTGGTGGAAAATGTCTGTGAAACCACACATCACCCAGCTTTGGCGAACAAGAGTTCATGGAATCAGGCAAGTAAATCTGGCCTGGAAAGCATGCATTCCAACTGGAGATTCGCCGAGGTTCCACTGTATTTCTTTAAGAGAAATCCTGACATTTCTTTTGTGGCTTAGTATTTCATCAAAATTTTATTATGAAGTAGGATTAACTTAAACGAGCATTGTATATTAGCCAATAGTTTAAAGTTTCACCTACTAAGTTTCCTATTAGAGTGAATGTCTGACTTTTAATAACATGAATTGAACAAGTGTTCAATTACTGAACTAAGAATTGAAGTCGTCTTAAAGATGTAGAAAATGAGGGCCCTAAACTGATAAAAGGAAGCACCATCACCCCCTCACACAATAATGTAACATGCTAAATAATAAGCCACAATAACGGGGAAAAATTACACATCCAACCCACACATCTGAAAATAAAGGGAGTGATGATGTTTCATTCTATCTTTGAAGGATCAAAACTCCCTTTACATCTGCTGTGTATGTTGGGTGTCTAATACACTGCTTACTTTCTGCTCTTCATCAGTGGACTTCGTCGAGGTGTTAACAATGTGTTGCTCAAGTTGGGCAACAAGACTATGATTGTGATTAGCCAGATGTTCAATTTCTTGTTTTAAAGTTTGCATATTTTCTTTCATTTCTTCAAGAAGCAAATCCTTGGCAGCAGCTTGACACTTGAGGACTCCAAGCTGTTTCTTAAGGGCACAAACAACCAGTTCATCAGCAACACCACTACTCAGTTGGTCACACATTTCCGGGTCCATTGTCTCATAGTTCATTTGAAGTGTCTCCGATTCTTCGGCCGTAACTATAGCGCGACGTTGTGGCGAGGCAACAGTAGACTCGGCCTCGGTCACCTGCATACACGTGGTTTCAAAATAATCGGCAGTAGTGCTGTCCGACTCGGTCTGTGAGGTGGAGGGAGTCACTGTGAGAGAAATGACCATTGCTGCCTCAAGTGATTCAGCCTGTGAAGTGGAAGGGGTTGTAACAGAAGCTCCCCTTGCTGCCTGCAGTTCAAGTGCCAACTCCGCTTCCTTCCTTCTCAGACTACGCACTGTGTGATGCAGCTCTCCATTACTTCTTTCAACTTTTTCCAAGCGGACAACGAGATCAGCATTCTCCTTTTGAATCTGAGAAGATACATAAATAAAAACCAAAGCCTCTACATATGTCCATTAAAACAGGACGATTGAACATAGTCAATCATTTTCAAGATAAATCTACCTGGAACAATAATAATAGCAATAATACAATCAAAATCATCAAGAACAATAAAAAACAAAATTCTACATACATAATGTGAGAAACAAACAGCCTGGAGAAAAACACACCACTTGCAAAATGGAATACAAAACCTTTAACTATTCAATACACATTTTTCATAAACATTTCAATGAAAATTAAAAGGAAATTAAATTGTTTAAGTACATGAATTAAAATTAGATAACAATCAGTAAAAAGAGAACAAAAACAAAAGATAGCAGCAGCCCCCTAATTGTTTGGCAGCAAATATTTACATTCAAGACAAATTCCCCTTCAATGCTGTGACACTGGTGTCCATGGTCTAATAAAACCTTGTCTGTATATTGGGATGGTAAACAATCTTCTGATTGTGGCTACCCCCACCCCTTCTGAGCAGCATATCATACTAGAAACACCCTATCTAACCCTGTTGTAGCTCAGTCGATTAAGGCAGTGTCTGGGATGCTCCCGGACGCAGGTTCGAATCCTCGTCACGGCCCTGGTGGATTTGTTCATCCTATCTAATTTTTTTAGGGAGGGACCCCTCAGTGCCTCCCTGGAGCTACCTAGCTAGATTGCTCTACATGTATCACGTCAGACAAGGCCCTTGCGCTTTATTAAAAACATAATGAACACCAAAGATAGAATCCAAATTGGTACAGGGAACTTGGGATACTATATCAACCTAGATCAAGAGGAAATACCACCAGAGAGGTAGTATACTCCAAAGACAGCTGCTAGCAAAATATAAGCAATTTGGGCAACTAGGAACACCGGAAAGAAGAAGAAAATGAAAAAATGACCAGGATCAGACAATGGGACCAAAGAACCAGCCTCCAAGGCAGCAGAAAAAACACCACCTCCAGCAGAAGACTCCAGACCGGAAAAAGACATCGAGCAGCAGCTGAACCAGAGAGAAGAGGAGACTGGCCACAAACACCAGTCTAGCTGAAAGATAATAACATAAGCCCTGCGATACAGATATGGGACCACAGAAGAAAGACGTCATTGAGTTTATAGTAAACAAGACGACGACCAGTGGAGGGCAGCCAAATGTCTCGCAAAACCAACGGAAGGGATTGTTATTGACCACCCACCTCACAGCCAGTCCTCTTCAGTGTTCCCAATGACACAAAGCTGATGTACTGTAATAAATTCCCTGAACCTAACCTAACTGAGGACCCACGAAAAAAAGACAGGACATCGCATTAATTTTAAGAGCTGTTATGATTTTTAGTTCGTCAGTTTTTGGCATTAGGGGGATTTGTACTTCAAAATGAGATGTACTATTCGAGAAGTCGGGTTGCACATCGAGGCAATGGGATGGAAACGAGAGACTGGCCACGAGACATTGGACACAACTCACAAAGGAACCTTGAGGAGAGCCAAACCCTGAAAAAACAGAGGAGAATCCGTGCACAGAGCCGTGTCGCACAGAGAAAGGGACTAAAGTGATCCTCCACGAATCAGACAAGGAATCACTGGACAGCAGTTAGAGCAGAGAGTCACCATGAATCCTGAAAACAAAGGAAACGTAGAGCATGCCATACCATGTTGAACTCCCGAACTGTGCTGAGCATCCAATAAAAAAGACTCTACCAACAACAATGAGAAATTGGATGAGCACAAGGCACAAATGAACAAAAGCGCAACAACACTGAACCCAAAAAAGCCTGAAGAGTAAATGACAAACTAAATACTGCTGAAGATCTGCTGCCACCGTCACGACCTTGACTTAGTACACTACGAGGACCTCCTGCTGCCACCGTCACGACCTTGACTTAGTACACTACGAGGAGGACCTGCTGCCACCGTCATGACCTTGACTTAGTACACTACGAGGACCTCCTGCTGCCACCGTCACGACCTTGACTTAGTACACTACGAGGACCTCCTGCTGCCACCGTCACGACCTTGACTTAGTACACTACGAGGAGGACCTGCTGCCACCGTCATGACCTTGACTTAGTACACTACGAGGACCTCCTGCTGCCACCGTCACGACCTTGACTTAGTACACTACGAGGACCTCCTGCTGCCACCGTCATGACCTTGACTTAGTACACTACGAGGACCTCCTGCTGCCACCGTCATGACCTTGACTTAGTACACTACGAGGACCTCCTGCTGCCACCGTCACGACCTTGACTTAGTACACTACGAGGACCTCCTGCTGCCACCGTCACGACCTTGACTTAGTACACTACGAGGACCTCCTGCTGCCACCGTCACGACCTTGACTTAGTACACTACGAGGACCTCCTGCTGCCACCGTCACGACCTTGACTTAGTACACTACGAGGACCTCCTGCTGCCACCGTCATGACCTTGACTTAGTACACTACGAGGACCTCCTGCTGCCACCCCTCATAACCTTCACTAGTACACTATGAGGACCTCCTGCTGCCACCGTCACGACCTTGACTTAGTACACTACGAGGACCTCCTGCTGCCACCGTCATGACCTTGACTTAGTACACTACGAGGACCTCCTGCTGCCACCCCTCATAACCTTCACTAGTACACTATGAGGACCTCCTGCTGCCACCGTCACGACCTTGACTTAGTACACTACGAGGACCTCCTGCTGCCACCGTCATGACCTTGACTTAGTACACTATGAGGACCTCCTGCTGCCACCCCTCATAACCTTCACTAGTACACTATGAGGACCTCCTGCTGCCACCCCTCATGACCTTCACTAGTACACTATGAGGACCTCCTGCTGCCACCCCTCATAACCTTCACTAGTACACTATGAGGACCTCCTGCTGCCACCCCTCATAACCTTCACTAGTACACTATGAGGACCTGCTGCTGCCACCCCTCATGACCTTCACTAGTACACTATGAGGACCTCCTGCTGCCACCCCTCATGACCTTCACTAGTACACTATGAGGACCTGCTGCTGCCACCCCTCATAACCTTCACTAGTACACTATGAGGACCTCCTGCTGCCACCCCTCATAACCTTCACTAGTACACTATGAGGACCTCCTGCTGCCACGCCTCATGACCTTCACTAGTACACTATGAGGACCTGCTGCTGCCACCCCTCATAACCTTCACTAGTACACTATGAGGACCTGCTGCTGCCACCCCTCATAACCTTCACTAGTACACTATGAGGACCTCCTGCTGCCACCCCTCATAACCTTCACTAGTACACTATGAGGACCTCCTGCTGCCACCCCTCATAACCTTCACTAGTACACCACACTCAGGAAGAATACTGGCTTGTTTTTGTAAAGCAATTGTACACAAATTTCCCAGTTAATGTTTTGTAGCATGTAAGCACCTGAAATCTAGCAACAATGAAAGGGTTGAAGACAAAATGAACCAAAATAAAGATGACTTCACAATCTGATCTTGATACTAGACAAATTTGACTAACCTCAGCCACTTCGTTGTCTCTGCTGTTATCCTGTTGGTGTCCCATCATCCGTATTGCATCACGATAATTATCAAAGTCCTTCTGCAAGCTCTCGACTTTCTCACATTCTTTTTGATATTTATTTGTCATCTGAAAAATGGCTCCATTAGTCAAAGGAAGTAAAAAGTAGTTTTACATTTACTGAATACCAGTATAACTTTGGCACTGGATCTTCTACTGTACAGAATATGAAAAGTTGTTTACTAAGCTATTCCACTCAGCTGTTCCCTAAGGCAAGAAGCTATTCACCTTTGGGTTAGAATCTGCAACAGCCAGAGCAGTTAAACATTCCTGCCCAGCATGGCTGGGAACACCATCCAGTCCCAGTGGATCATACGGGTGCTAGGGATACACTGCCAAACATTCTAGCCACTACACACACACACAAACTCTTATACTCTTCTAATAATCTAGAAGAGAATGGCAAAATTGATATAGTTGACAAACTTTGATTTTAAGAGAGCACACTATGGGGAACTGAGCAAATTCTTTAATTACACTGTCATTGGAACGACTTGTTGCTAGGCAAGGAAATAAATTATATATATGCCAAATTCTGTGAAATATATGAAGACAAAAAAATCCAGCGTTGAATGTAATGAAATGCCATTTTCTGGGTGAGCCCCGGAGGCTCCCTGGAGCTTATCAGGCTAATGTATGTTATATTAGACCAGGACATTAGCTAAGGAATTCAGACCTACCAGGGACCAGCGCCAGAACCTGGCCCCTTCAGAGAGGTTTCAGTGGGCAATGGCCCTGGAAACCCCCCCTGTGGTTGGGGTTTTCCTTATCTACCATCGACCGGGGTTAGGCACCCAGAAAGGTAGGCATAACAAAACAAACCCCACATGGTAAAACACTAAAACAGAAAACCGAACAGAGATAGAAACTCCCTACAATCCCAAGGAAACAAGCAAACATCACACTTTACTGCCGTGCCGATCGTCCGCGCAGCCCTCCCCACCCACAAAGAGGGAGGGGGGGTGGGGGCCAGAACTCACCACACCGGCTGGCTAGCATTAGTTCGGAAGTTAAGCTTCAACCAACATGAAAAAACCGCAGACCGGTGGGAGGGAGGGTTGCCAGGGAGCCTCCGGGGCTCACCCAGAAAATGGCATTTCACTACATTCAACGCTGGTTTTCTGTGGGGAGCCCCTACGGCTTCCTGGAGCTTCATACCCAAAGAGAAGAAAAAGAAAGGGCTGACCCGGGAGGCGGCCGTCACAAGCTTCGCAACGCGAAGCCGAGACAACAGGCTGCAACCTGCAACCCAAGGCAACACAAGAACGCACAGGAGCACACACGCGCACAAAGAATGGGCGGCCAGGAACCTGTGCAACCCTCAAATCCTCGCACCCGAAATGAGCCCTAGACATCAACACAGCAGTGAAAGCCACAAACGTCCGAACGGTACGGGCGCAAGGATAGACCGCAGGCTGGTAGACTTAAAAACTCTGCGCACAACCTGGGAGACCCAAGCCCTGAAACAGGGAACGAGAGGACCTGGATCAACCCAAAGCGCATCCCCTGTCACGGTACACAGGTAACAGCAAAGAGCTGCAACCGGACAACACATGATGCACCCCCGGCCGAACCAACCAAGCATCAATAACCCAAGGACCCCTCCGGAAAGCAGCCGTCTCGACCGTCGCCAGAAGGACGGAGAAAGGCTGCAAACGTACAAACCTACCACTAGTATCAAAAGAGCAGAAACCCCTGCACCGGAAGAGAGCCAGAAGCTCCCCAACTCGGCTCGCAGAGGCCCATGCCAACAAAATATGGCCTATGAAAAACAATCTCAAACCGAAGGGGTTACCACAAACTGAGGAGAAGAAAGATAAGAGGGCACCCTGATCAAGGACCAGGACAGCTCAGGCGAAGCAAGAGCAGGCCGGAGGTAAAACAAAACACGAGAAAGCGTATGGAATGGGGTGGATGTGACGTCCACCCTGAACGCAAGCCGGAACAGCTCTGCCAGCACCGCACGATACGAGGCAACAATAAGAAACATCAAATAACAGTCCAGAAAACCCAAGAAAGAACAAGACAACCCATGCAAAAGAGAAGACAACCTACTAAGAGCAAGAAAATGGCGAATAGAAACACCAGGAACGTCATATTGTTGCCAAGACGAAGCTCGCAGGTGGGACACCATCAACGAAGCCACCTGATCACCATAGAGATGGTGATACACCCACGTCAAAATACCAGACGCGAAGAGCCAAGGAGAAGGCCGAACCAGTCATGTACAGGACTGGTCTGACCTGCGGAAAGAGGCGGTGCCGTGGGAAAAATGCCCCGGGTTCGGACACCTATCAAGCAGCGTCTGAAAATCAAGCTGGGCCGGCCACCAAGGGACCACGAGGACTACTCTTCTTGGGAATGGACTCCAACCGAGCGAGAACCCGAAGCAACAGCTGGACCGGGAGAAGAGGAACAGGTACCCCCACCTCGACCAGTTCTGCTGAAAGGCATCCACCATGAACGCCTCGCAGGCGGGTAAGGGCGCCACATAGAATGGGAGACGTCGAGACCACGCCGACATGAAGATGTCCATGGCCAGGAATCCAGATGTCTGGCAGTCAATGAAACGAGTTGGCGACGACTGGCCAATCCACGAACAGAGGAATGAACCGAGACAGGCTGTCCACCAGGACGCAGGACACACCCCGGACATGAACCGCACGGCTAGCCAAATACCGAGAATCCAGCAAACGAGCCACTCGAAGGGACCAACCCCAAAGGTCAAAGACCTAAGAGAAACCCTGTGGTTCCGGCAATGAACCACTGGAGAACAGTCCGAATGGAGCTGGATGGTAGAGCACCGAGTGACCGAACCCTCTGAAGCGCAAACCAGACAGCCACGAACTCCCGAGCCGTGCTGTGAGCCCAAGGGACGGACAGACCCCACCATCCCCAGCTGACCCGGTGAGCACTGGTCACAAAGCCCCAGCTGAGAGATGACCCATCCGTGAACACATCGAGTGAAGGCTCGGGGAGGCGCCATGGCACGGAACCCCAAAAACCCCAAAGAGGAAGCTGGTGACGCAGCACCAACACAAGATCCCCGGAGGACGAACCCAACGATTGCAAGAGAGGCGGAAAGGGAGTCTCCTAAGGAACCAAACAGACGCCGAAGCCAAACCCGACCCTGCGGGCAGATCAGCACCTCTAAGTTCAGACTCCGTTTAACCGCTCGAGCAACCGCCAAGTGACCCAGGACCCCCTCAAACAGCCGAAGGTGGGACCACAGCCGCAGCAACACTTCTGGAGGGAAAGAAAAGGAGCGGCCAAAGAGCCCTAAACAAGATCCAGCCAAGTCCGAACCCGGGACGGAAACAGATAGAACGGCCTCCAGATCACCAGGAAACCGAACCCGGTGATCTGGAAAGAACCACACCCCTGGCGAGTAGACAAGCGGACCGACTGGGAGCCCACACCAGCCAGTTGTCGAGGTAGGCCAGACGCTGAATCCCGAGCAGATGCAGGCAGGGCACCAAGATCCGGTAAAGATGCGTAAATACACCAAGTGCCAATTACAAACTATGGAAGGCAACAAAAGTGGCAAGCCTGAAGCCTCACCACCAACTGTGCCAGTCCCAGAACCCTGGAGAAGAACATGCCAAGAAGTGACCCCGGAGGTCCAGGACCACCATCCAGGCACCCGGCCCCAACAGAAGCCGGACCGGAGACAAACAGTCCTCCAAAGAGGGCAAAGAATCCAGGATGCAGACTGAACAAGTCCAGAAGAACCGTAGATCCGCAAGACCTGTGTCTGCATAGAGCAGACAAGAACCCCAGAAGGATGGGGCGGATCGACCACATCCAAACGCACCCCACCATGACATGACGAAGCATGGGGAAAGAAACCCACCCCGCCAGCCCCAAACCCCCCCCCCCCCAAAGGGGAAGAAGCCGTCCGCCGCCACCAGTAGCCAGAAGATAACCAAAAACGCCCACTAACTGCGGGACCAAGCGAGAGCCAACAGAGCAAGCTGCTCCCCCAGAGCCCCGTCAACAGCGAAGGGAACGGAGCCCCTTCCGAAAGAAAAGGTATATATATATAAATACACACACACACACACACATAAGTGTACACATGTACATGTATATATGTACACACACACACATAAAAATCAAATAAAAGTAAATAAAGAAAAAAATACAAGCCGCCGACCAGTGGGCAGAGAGCACCACGCCGGCCAGGCGAAGAAGGTACAAAACTGCATCAAAAGGCCCACCTCGACAACAAAATCCAAGGCCCCGGCAAGACCACAACACGTGCCAAGACCCAAAAAGATCAGCCTGCAAGCCAGGAAGACCCCAGAACCCCAGAAGGCAGAACCGGGTCACATGGGAGGAAACAAAGCCCCCTAAACACACAAAGGGGGCCTAAGAGGAAGAAACCTCCGGAACGAAACCAAAGAACCCAAAGGAACCCGGAATTGAACGTGGGGGAGCCCAAGCTACCACATTTGCCGGCGGAAATACCACAGAAAGGCAAAGCACAGCCACCAGACAGAACCCCCAGGGAAACGGCTAAAACAGACCGAAAACTGAGTGGACAAGGTGTGGGAGCAAGCATAAACAGACAGGGACACTGAGCCCAAACCCTAGGGCCCCAAATCCAAAACATATAGAAAACGGAAAACCGGTGTAAAAACAAACACCCAAGCATTCCCAGAGGAACAGAAGATGGACAGAAAACACCAGAAAAGCAAAGACACGGCAACCGGAGAATAAAACCCCTGAAAGAGGTAACAAACTCACCGAAGACACTAGCTTGCACACCCAGGCGCATGTAAACAAACCACAGCGCCGCCCTGGTGGCCAAGCCGGGAAACCAGCAGAAAAAAATGGCCACCAGAAACTGGGCCGTGATCGACGCAATAGATACGAAAACACGCCAGCAAATGTGGGAAGCAAGCAGACTAGATGGACGAAAAACTCCGCCCAGAAGCAGAAAACCCAGGCAGGGGCAAACAGCCCCATAACTGCTAGCAGCCCGGGGCAGAGCCATTCTCCACGCTCTCTGCCCTTAAAGAAAAGGAAGAGTGGGAAAGGCAGCAAGAAAGGGCCGCTGGTAAGAC